AAAAATTTATCATGCTTATTATAACTGTCAACCATCTGCAAGATTTCAATGCATTCGGTTTTGCAGATTCAAAATTAAATTGCAAAATGTTGTTTCATAATTTTGATTTTTTTTACAAAAATCTGGGCGTTTCGGTAAAAACTCAACTGGAAGTCATAAACTATAATACATGTGTGGACTATGTTATTTTATACAATTTAAAACCCATTTACTATGTACAATTTTGTGACGTCATAACATTAGTGGTGGGGATGATTAGACAAATTTTGATTAGCGTTTTACCATCTACATGATACACCTAATATAAATACAAAATTTGACAACAATCGGGCCAGTACTTTCGGAGATTATCTGTCTAATAAAAATCCGAGACGGCAGACAGACAGATAAACAGACGGACAGACGGACAGACGGACAGACAGACAGATGGAAACGGGGGACCTATTTCTTCGTCCTCTAGGGGTCATGATAGGTCGAGAAAATGCAAAAGTAGAGAGTTGGCCGACTGACTCGATTACAATACTTCCTTTGCTTATGCTCGGGAAGTAAAAAATTGGCCCAAGATTCGACAGAACTTCTCTCGCCCTTGAAGTAGAGTCTAACAAATTCCGCTTCTTTGGAAAATTATAAAAAGTATGTGTTTTTTGATAACCTTCGTACAGTAAAAACCAGTGGTGTAAATGACACTTGGGCCGCAAGGGTGCAAATTCCAAGAAGGTGCCGTACGCAGACATACGGAGAATATGAAATATATTCAAAGCAAATAATCATCGAGAAACAGTGTGCTATTATCAGTGTACTTGCTTAATTTTGATTGTTTATGTTTACACATCGAAAATGTCATGTAGAGATTTGTTTAATTTGAATGCGTTGTTTCCTCAAACCAGAAGACTAAAATTATATATTAAGCCACAATGGAACAAAATGTTTTGAATATGATTATTATTATTTCTATTTGATCATAATTAACTAAAAACGTGGGTATTCTCACATTGATCAATTAAAAATTCAGCTCTTTAAAAAATATATCAAATTTGATTTTACGATTTTCGTTTTGTGATAACCGATGTGAAGTAAAAACCATTAGCATTAAATAACACCCATTGTCCTTTAGCACTAGGTAATAGCAATCTGAAACTAAAGTGTTATTTATTTATGTTTATACATCGAAAGAATATCACGTAGAAATTACTTTGATTTGAATGAGTTTGTCTACTCAAAACAGGACTAAAGGTATTAATCAAACCACAATCGAACAAAATGTTCTGAATATTATAATTCTTATTTTATTATTATTGTATAAAGACGTACGTATTCTTCACATTTTCTAGGAAATGAAGTATCACAAAGTACGCGTTACGCTTGAATTAAGTATAAATATTGTACCTATATTTAGTAAGTACTTATTTTTATTGTTTATCTGAATTTAGATATATGTAGAAAGATAGTTATTAACAACAGAAATTACAATGAAACTCTCATTTGGGCATGTTCCGTTTAGCAAGTGAAACTTTGTTGGGGAAACGCTGGCTATGCTTTGAAAAGTGAAAAGAAGTTTGATTTTGAGCGATTTCACTAACAGTCTTATCGTAATGGAGACATAATTGTTCTAAAGATGTATAAGACAAAAATATATACAATAAACTCACTTGACATAAACCTTGTAAAACTTTTATGACTTAAGCGACTTAAGCCAAACCACCCTTATAAGTCAAACTGACTATTATTGTAAGCTTTATGGACCCGAACCGCAAGGATTATTACTGTCCATTGTTGCCATAATGGAGCTGTAAAGTTTTACTTGGTATATGTGAACTGATGTAAGTTATACAATAGCCAGTTTGACTTAGAAGGGTGCTTTGGCTTAAGTCATAAAAGTTTTACAAGCTGTATGTCAAGTGAGTTTTGTATACTTGCTTCACTTTCTACAGCTTTATACATTTACGACGAACTCAAACAGTAACAGACAAACAAAACAGTTAAGAGGTTGTACATACAATAATTTCAGTTTTGCGTATCCTTCTTCCCATATTATTTGAGTACGATTTAATAATGCGAGAGAACAAAGACAGTATCAGGCAAACAGCAGATGTTATCATAATTTATCAATTCAGTTGGGGTTACCAATATCGCAAACCGCAATGCTGAGATAAAACAAATAAACGAAAACTGCCAATAATTTGACATAGTGAATTACGATTATACCATAAAATTAACCATTTGATTCTGTGGATTAACCAGTCAAAACAACGCGATTCACAACTTAACTTCCAACAAACACAAACGAAATTTAACGTAAACAAATACAGGACGTAACAGTTCGAGTGTTTCGTTCGGCAACATAATACCAAAAACTAACTCTATATTTACATTAATTACATTGTCCAGGGAATTGCACATTAGCGACTAGAAGCAATTGAAATTTTTATATTTTTCAAATAATGCTGTGTAACTCTAATGTCGAATTCTGAGGTCTGTTGCTTCGGAAACACGGACTACTGTTCGGAAAGTTCAGTAAGATTATAGACCTCTTTTTCTTGCTACTCTCCTGATGAGCCTTCTGTTAAAATCGTTGTTAAGTCTGCATTTAGTTTGGTGCAAACCTCGAATTAAACCGAGGCTTAAACTAAATTGTTAACTATAAGCTAATTTTCTATGACGTATACAACTTTAATAAACGTTTCTTTTTCTTAACGTTCCAAAGGATGTTAAGTAAATTGTAAGTAATTTTGGTGTTTGCTTTTTATAATTTTTTTACACACAAGTGACATTTTACGTATTAAGTAAGTCATAGATAGCAACGTTATTTTTCGTAATAAAAAAAAAACGCACACCAAAAGAGAAAAATTTGAAGAATATTCAAGTTGTGTAATTAATTTACCTTTCAAATATATATCTTACATATTCATTATTTACTTTAGTATATACAAAAAATCTCTAAACAGCTGTCAAACTGCTACTGGAAACTGAAAAATTCAAAATCATCCTTTTTCGTAATGTAGTGGTTTCTAAGACTTCTTTGTTTTCCTATGCTCCTGTTAAACCTTCGGTTAAAGTCGTGGTTAAGTCGACATATGATTGTGCAACGAAACTTGGCGTATCTTTAGTTAAGAGAGAGCAAGAGCCAACCAACGTATGAATAGATAAGACGGTCCGTTATCAACCTAGACATCATTATTTTACTTTTATAATTATAATAAATATCACCGTGCGTAAATTTTGTAGTAGAAATTTAAACTCCAAGAGTTTGTGGCATATTTAGTGATTCAGTTGTATGTATGTTCGATGTTTCTTATATTTCTGAAATTAAAGATCAATTAATTAGCTAACATTTTTGTGAAACATTCAAGTATCATGCGTATTCAATTAGGGATTGCTATGGATTTTGGGATTTTCCTTTCTTTAAAGCGTTACTTGTCTTACCGAATCGAGTGTTCGTAGCCTAATTAACTGTGAACACAACCCGTGCGACTTATTTTCTATATTTCTGGACACGATATTAATTAATCTCCAAACTGCTCTTTCTGTGAAGAAAATATTTTGTTGTCAATCCAAAGTTTACCTTATGATTTCGTTTACACCCGATTTGCACAAACTGACGAAAGCACTTCACATATTATACAGGGTCATTATAAAATACTGTCGCCAACTCACCTATGAAAAATAAATGAAATTTTTCTCGTGCCGCTAATCACCAAAATGATTTGAACTCTTTTGAAATGTCACGAACGTCAAAACAAATCTGTCAAATGTGTCAAAAATTGAAATGCCAGGTTTGCGGTCCAATTTCATTTTAAATAGAGAAATTTGGTAGTAAATACTTGGTATGGCAGACTATTTGTCTGTGCGGTTTGAGGTCTTCATCGTTTGGTAGTAAAGGAACTATTTCGGTAGAATTAGGTACTGATGCCGATTTTATCATCTATCGAGAAAAAATTGGTTACTCGGGAACTCTTTGTAAATAGATTATTCATAAGTATTTGATTGCGTATCAATACTACTTCAAAAATTAGAAAGATATGGCTTTCACAGTGTAGCAGTCTTATATGACTAGTCGTACACAAACAGTGGTATTTGCAGGTTTGATTTTTGTAACTAGAAATATTGAAAGAATGAAAAAAAAAACAACAAAAAGAAGAGAACTTAATAAAATTATTCCCGCCATATTTTTGTGTTGTTAATTTCAAGGTCACTCTTCCACCTTTGCGGTTCACCACTTGCATCAGAACGCATTCCGCCATTTAAAACACAACGTACGGTCCCCATCTTATTGACGATCGCAGTTCATGGCCACTTTTCGATTTTTCGCGGGTTTTCAAATTTTGTGCGCATGTCACAATTTTGGCGCAATGTTTGGGTTATTATAGCATTTTGGATAAGCAGATGAACTTCTTGAAGAATATATCTCTGTTCACTGTTGAGCCTTTCGAGGTTTAAAAAAGTAAATAATTTTATCAATCTATGGTAGAAGGGACTGGCTAAAGGACTGAGTTTCTTTTGAGTGTATATTCTCAGAATTGTTGGTAGTTAATTATTATATTATTCGTAGTTATTTTATACATGTAAGAGACACGAATGAGATTTTTACTTACATTAAGAGACCGACTATGTATATACGTGGCATTTGTGTGCAGATCATGTTGAATGTAACTCCTTCAACTTTTAGAACGGCGATATCTTGGGAATGGTGATTCTTAGGAAAAAAGTATAGATCGTTTTTGTAGATAATTTTATGATCTACAATTTTTGTCTGGGCTATATTTTTGATAAAACTTACCGTTTTCGAGAAAAATCCAAAAAACCAAAAATTTTCACCTTTGACATTGAATAACTTTTTTAGCACACATGGGATATATGGGGACTTTTGCCACTTAATTTCTACTGGTCTATCCAAGGTTTCTACCAAAATTCAGCTCTGTCGGAGTTTTTGTTATTTGAAATGTCTATTTTGACCGGACTAATTAAATACTTCTACGAGTTACTCTTTAGTAGAGAGAGAATTAACGTTTTTTTATATTTTATTAATAAAAATAATAAATTACATTTCGTATACAAAATTTTTTATGCAATAGAAACATTTGAATAAATATTAGGGTTTAATAATTAATACTACCATTTCTGAAAACCTCTACTACAAACACAAAGATGTACAATAAGAGCAGGTGATCAACGTGTAAATGACGAATCTATCGTTACTATTGTTTAGCAACAGTGGTAGTGTTTTTTGATATTCGTAATCATGAAAAATTTGCTAAGACCTTTGTTTTAACCTTTCTTGTACAAAGTATTATTCTTCAGAATTAAGGATAGTATTATTATTATCAATACCATATTCTCCTGCAATAATATCCAGTTCTTCCGCGCTACACAGTGGCGCATCAAAAGGGCAAACACTGTTAATGCTTTTATAATTAATCACATATCTCTCCTTTTGACGGTCAAAATCCACACAGGAAGCAAATCTGTGACCCCACATGATGTCCGAATTTGAATAAGATGTTCTGTTTTGGGATGGTTGAGCCGTGATGATCGACGTACCTTCAGCCACTACAATAATTTCAAGTCTGAAAAAAAATTAACTAACTAATAATATTAAACTAGTATTAAAAACATACGGAATCACTAGCAACTCGTAGGGTGTTAGAGTCCAAAAAGGACTACTTGAATCTATGACATGTACGATTTCTATTGGAAGAATGGGAAACCCATATGGTTCAATTTTCATTTGTTGCATCTGAAAGCTTTCTAACATGTCTGCACTGCTATTTTTGTTTACAAAATACATGGTCACGTTGGTTCCTATTGTGATTTTCCCCACCAAATCTACTATTCGTACAACGAAACATAGTCTTCCATTTCTTAAACAAACCTAAAAAAAGACCTGCAAAAAGTACTAACAATCATTGGCTATTAGCTAGAAATAATTTTGCTGTTGTCAAACCTACTCATATTTTTATAATTTTATAAAAAACACTTTAAGACTGTGCAAATTTAATTACTGTGGATTAGTACACTTACCACTGCCTTCTTACTAAAGAGACCAAGTACATTCTTCTTCACGGGTTTTGAAATCTTCACATATATAGCACTAACTAGTGCACCTTGAATACCGACACTAATTAAAGCTTGCAAGAAGGGAACAATCCACCCTTGTATACACTTTTCGGTAGGATATCTGTACCCATATCCTATAGTTAACATCGTTTCAATGCTAAGTAGAACGTAACCAGTGAGATTCTTGGTGTTGACGACGCATTCTTCTTTGACTTCTTTCTCAAAATCTCCACTAAGGTAAGCTATCCACATCCACAAAACCCCAAAAAGAAAAAAGCTTGCAAAATTGACGAGAAACAAAGCAATTATGATCCATCTCCAACGAATATTTAGTAACGTATTTCCCAAATCTCGAAAATATGTAACGTATTTCTTAGGTACTCTGACTTGGAAAATGTTGAGTCGTCCACTTTTGCTTATTATTGGAGGTGCTATGTTGATGCTGCTGTTGCTGCGAATACTGCATCTTGAACTAAAATGGATAATGGATGGTACGAGTTTTAAGAATGGTTATAAATGTACCTTTTGTAGCTACAAATTGAAATACTTCTTCTAGGAAAACGAAATTCGTTGAGCGCTATAGATTTACTTTCACTGGAAAATACTTCGTTGTATTCGTCCTTCTCGTGGTCGTACTCAAACATATTAAATTGTTATTAACGGAAACTATATTTTATTGCACTAACGATAGCGTTCTGAATGATAGTCAAATGATCACACATTTATTTTTAAGTGTTATCGCTATCAGTTCAATCCTTTTCAATAAGTTTCATCACAAAGGGGGACTAAAGAGATTACCGATGTGCTATTTTCAAACGACGCTATCAACTTGAGAAAATATAAATTACGTAAATATCTCCTTCGTAGATAATGTCAATAAATACAAAGTCTTTAAAAATGTTTTACAACTACTTACGATATTTAAATGTTATTTCTTGTACTTTCCGAAAGCTAATCTATATTTTTTAGAAATGACAACATATAACGGGCGATGAAAAAGTTTTCATATTGAGGTAGACTATGGAAATATTTTCCATTTCTTTGATTAAACCTTACGCGTCAAAATTCAAACTTCTCAAATTAAATTTCAAATAAATTTATTTTCAAAATTCAGGATGGTATACACCTTGGAGCAAAAAGCCTTTATAGTAGAAGTGTATACTTTCATAATTCACACAAAATTAATGGAGATTGGACATTTCCGATTTGTTGACATTGACATTTATTTATATCGTAAGCTATTAAATTATTTAGGTTTACTATTTAATAAAAGAAATAAAAAATATTTCCATAGCCTACTCTAATCTGAAAACTTTTTGATGATTCGTTATATATAAACTGTGTGAACAATACCTTTAGAATGACACAAAAAGTATTTAAAAAAATCCATTCTAGTTCTTATTTTGTTCAGTAGGTACTCAAGTTGTCCTTACATTCCTGTTTATCACACACCCACCTCCTAAAAGAAAAAACAGGATCAAAGAAATCCATGGATTTGAAAGTTTGAGTTGAAAACGCAATGATCAAAGACAAACTTTCAAAAATCCATGACTGTTTTTGGAGATTTCCTCTTGTTATTAGTATGTAGAGAACAAAATCTGGTATACCCAATAACGCAATATAGGTTTTTGGAACAGACAACACACAAAACAATTTTTACTTCATTTTCTCCTGCTATGTCACCTAATCATTTGGATTCAGTCGCTCTATGAAACTACTAAATCATTGATTGTACATTGTTTTAAGTACGATTTTGTATTTTACAGTTGTTTGTTGCATTGGTTGTGTCAAAAATGCACGCCGATTTTTTCCATCATATCTTATCTGAGAGTGATAGTGATTTTATAATTGTACATAACAAGATTTGACATATCTATCTCAAAATAAAATGTTAGTAAACAAATGAATTTTTGTCAGAGTAGAGGGAAGCTATTACACAGTTTTTAATCAAAACGGGAAATAACATTTGAAACAGCCGGTATTATGAATTTTATGGTTGTTTATTACAGAGTGCCTGTGGTACTAACTAAATGCTTTCTTCTAGAAGAAATGATAAAATTCGTTTATTGTAATTCCGAACAAAAAATTTACGGACTAACTGAACTGACGAACGGAGATCTGAACCTTTAGTTAGTTAACCTGAAGTTTGTTGCACCGACTACCGTCGATTTAACCACGACTTTAACCGAAGCTTCATCAGGAGCGCAGCAAGGGAAAAAGGTAGAGAACTCTGAGTATCGAAATTTTAAAATAGAAACACGATTCTTTATCTGTCACATAGCAGAATATCTCGCTTATAGCCCCTTCAGTTCACAATAATTACAAATCTATACTTATCTATACTTATATAATAAAGCTGAAGCTTTTGTTTATTTGAACACGTTAATCTCAGAAACTACTGGTTCAAATTCAAAAAATCTCTTTGTGTTGGATAGTCCATGTATCATATCTACATATAGGCTATATAACATCACGCTACGATCATTAGGAGCGAAGTAGCAATGAAAAATTCGGAAAAACGGGAAAATTATTCCTCCTTTGACAGCTTCCGTTGCTTACGCTGCTTAAACGGTTAAAGTTACGTAAAAATCATGTATGACGAAATTGTTCCCCTCTAAAAGTTCTAAAGAAAAGTCCGCGACAGCATATGTCTATCTTTTAAGGTCGAGTCAGTATAACCTTTTTTTATGGTAATGAAATTTGTTCTAAAATAATAATGCATTATGTAAGTATAAAATTCTCGCGTCACAGTGTTTGTAACCGAACTTCTCCGAAATGGGTTGACCGATTTGTATGAAATTTTTTATGTATATTCAGTAGGTCTGAGAATTGGTTGTAAACTTTTTTTTAAACCCCTAAGTGATAACGGTGGCCCACCCTAAAAAATTTTTGTTTATTTTTTGGACAAAATTTTTTATTTTTATTTTTTTAAGAATTGGCATCAAAAAATACACATAACCCTAAATTTTCACCTTTCTACCACCAACCCCCATTTTTTAATCGTCTATACAGGGTGCTATTGAAATACATGGAAACAAAAAATCTGGTGAATGTAGGGAACCTAAGAAGTCAAATGAACGTTTGTTGTTTTAGTAAAATTTTGAAAGGAAAATTTAACCCCTATCCAAACATTCATTCCTCCACTGATAAATAATGGTTTCACGAAAAAATGTGAAACCTAGTAATTGAAAACTGCCGAGGTGTAACTACTGTTGCTATTAATTTATTGCTAGCAACAAATAAACAATGACAATAATTAATGAACTGACAATAAAACTTCAAAATCATAATTTAATCAACCATAAAATGAAACAAAACGTAACGTATGCAACTAGCGCAAGTTTTCAGCAGCTACATTTGTTATTCTGTCCCAAAGTTCCTCAACAGAATTTACTGGGGTTCGGTAAACCAACTCTTTCATGTGACCCCATAAAAAGAAGTCGCACGCATTCAAATGAAGCTCCCACTCGGTAAGACAATCGTCTAATGCTTATTATACCTGGATCGTTTTCAACGACATTCAAAATTTCTTCTTCGGCATCAAGTGTCCGTTCTGTCCTTTCACGACCACGATCACTAAAACGAGGTTGAAATTTCCCATTTTCTCGTAGACGCTGAACAACGTTAGCAAATGTTTTATGATTTGGCAATCTTCGTTCGGGAAATGCTTCTTGGTATAAACGTCGAGCTTCCAAGGAGTTTCCTAAGGCTTGTCCATACATCAGAACCATGTCAGTCATTTCAGAATTAGAAAAATTCATTTTGTTGTTCCAAAAAATTGCAAAAACGTCAAAAAATGATGGGCTAGTGAATGTATTGTCATGTTAACAAGCAACAATTTTACCTACTTTAAATTACTATAGTGATCAAATTTACCTTTAACATTTTTGGAATCAGTAGAGCACACGCAAATTTTAACAGATTTTCAATCAATTTCATCTCGAAAACTAAAGGATTTTTATTAGATCAATATTTGATGCATAAATTCTCTACATCATGACCAATTACCTTAAAAAAAGTTTCCATCTATTTCAAAAATACCCTGTATAATAAAAATCAATTGCTGTTCCTGTTAGTCTCGCTAAGACTCAAAAACGGCTTGACCGATTTGAAGAATTTTTTATATTACGGGGATGGTTTATAAATAAAAAAATAAGGAAAACTTAAAAGAACAGTTAAAAAATAAAAAAATTCTAAAAATTTTGTATGGGAATTGCCACTTCGAATTAATATCAATAGTTGGCGTTTCTGGCGAACCTGTCGTCTAACTGACGTGTCATACAAAACTAATTCTTCCGTGCAATTGTGAAAAGTATATTGCATTTCAAATCGTTCTTTGTTTTTTCGTAAAAAAAAAACGTCGTTTATTTTAAGAAAAGTCTTGGTTAAAGTGAATTTAATTACACCTTGCGAAAGTTTCTTATTAATTTTGATCTGCCATTCTATTTACCTATATTCACTTTGTTGGTTTCGACAAAACCTCAAACTTTACCGTTTTTCGAGGATTTAATTTGAAGTTTTCAATATTTTAAAATTCTCAAGACAAAATTTACAGATTTGATTGACTGTGAAAATAATTCTGTGTCGTTTTATGAAGTTCATTAAAATGCCGAGAAGACGACAACCTCACATAGGTCCACGAAGTCAATCAAATGTGCGACGAACTATTCAGGTGCAAACCGCAATGATTTATTTCATGGGTAATTCGGATGTAGAAGTTGATCAGCGTTGTGCTCATAATCAACATAATCAAACATTGAAGCGAGACATTGGGTGGTATGAATAAAACTGAGTAGAAACTAATATTCGAAGTACGAAGTACCTACTTCATTATTACTTTTATACACCTGAGCATCTACTCTATGTACTGAGTACCTACTTGGAAACATTGTATCTCCCCGGACACAAATTGAACATCTACGCGTTTCGTGAGCATTTAATCTAAAAATGAGCATCGGCGTGGCAAATAACTGAGCTGTCTGTAAAGCAGCTTAGAAAACGAGTAAGATCATTGTAAGAGTGAATTTTAACTAAACATGGTCACTTTCATGAACGTGGAACGTCGTCAAAAGGTACATTCAGTTTGAAAAACACATTAGGAGCAGGAATATCGAAAACTTTTCAGGTAATTAACTTTTATTTATGCATAAATTGTGCAGTGCGTTTTTTCTAACACTGGCCATAGAGATTCCCATCTCAAGGTGTCTACCCCATACTAACTTATATTTTGGTGACTCTATTTTTGCTTTGATGGTTGAACACTGTCACTGTTATCCTTTTTTGTTGTATCGAGATGCTACTTGAACATCAACTGTTAGCTACTGAAGTATTAATATCATCTAGAAAAACTAGAAATGTTTTGATTTGATATTCGAGTAGATACTTCGTATTTCGAGTATGAGAACCTACTGAGTTTTATTTATATCAACCATTGTCAAAAAATTGATCGAACGTTGTTTCGACAGAACTTCCTTCGCACCAAAAGTATAATGAAACATATTCAGCATTTTCGAGTTGAGTCTTTTCTTCACACAATTTGGTGACGACCTAATCAACATTTACGATCAACACGTATACCACCTTGGATTGATGCAGTGTAATACTAAAAATAACTGTATTGTATTCCCAAAATTATCTGCGAAAATCGAGTGAGCCATTCCATCAATTTTTTGGGGGTAATAAATAAATATTCTTAACAATTTACCATGCTTACAATAATTTTAAAACGTCTGCAAGATCTCAAAGTATTCATTTTTGCAACTCTTGAGTTATTCACTAAAATAAATTGACTGGTCCATATATTTTTTTGAGTCACTGTAAAAGCAAATCTAAAAAATATGAATGCAATGATAAATTACGAAAATATACTGATGATATTTTCCACATTTTAGATAGGATTTATTCGACAAAATCTTGAGATGACGTCTTCAAGTTTTTGGGCTTGATAAACAGATATATTTTGATTGAAAACCTACCATGTCAAACATTAACTTCCAAACGTCTGCAATATTTCAAAATTCAGTCTTGCAATTCTTGATTCAATCAATAAAATAAATTGACTCAGTGATTAATTTTTTTGAGACACCCCCTACAAGCAAAACTAAAAAATATGAATGGAATGATAAATCACAAGTATAGTTTCATCCTATTTTGGACATTTTAGATAGGATTCATTTGGCAAAATTTTGGGCTGACGTCATCATTTTTTTGGAGGGGATAAGTAAATATATTTTGAATAAAAATTTATTATGCTTATCATATGTTTAAAACATCTGCAAGATTTCAAAGCATTCGATTTTGCAGATTCAAAATTAAATTGTAGGTGAAACGAAGTTCACGGGGTCAGCTAGTCTATAATAAAACAGTTCATGCTCGGCAAGCAAAAAGAAGGTAAGTCCGTTAGGTACATGTAGTGTTTAGTTACCTAAATATTGTAATGATAAGAGTGGCGTTACTAGAAAATTTTTAAATAGGGGCTACTATTGAATTAGTGGTATTAGGCTTATTTACATAATAATAAACAAAATATCGCAGATAATTATTTTTTATTTCGAAATTTCTCAGTTAAATAGTTTTAATATAAACTCAAGAAATTTTGTTCAACGAAACTGTTAGGTACTCTTTATTTTTTTAAAATTTTTAATTTGCATTTTCAACCAAATCCCTCATTGCATGAGGGGCATTTTATTCTTTGTTTTTTCTTATTTCTTCTTTAGTTTTTCTGGTATAGATTTTCAAACGGTAAATTATCATTCTTGCAATAAATTTTGTTTTGCTGTTGCAGCATGTTGAAAATTGTATTGAGCGATAAGTCGAATTTTTCCTAATTTCTTTCTTCATGACTTCGAAAACATTCCCAGTGCAACAATTATTTTTCTCTAAAATTACAAAATATTTACTCTACTAAAATTGCTATTTGGAACGCGTTCTCTGAGGCGAAATGTAAAGCACCAGTTTTATATTCTTTTAATGCCACAAATTTTGCATCATTTTCATTACAATTCTTTTTAGAGACCAAAGCAACAAAACATTTTTTGCAAAAATTTTGATTTTTTATCAAGCTTTTAACAACGTAACCTGTGCAACTGTGCAAAGCATTTTTTCCTCAAATTCCAATTTCTAGGTAAAGCTAAATTTTCTTTTCCTTTAGGAAGATCGGTTACTTTTCTGTTATAATTTTTAACATCATTCAAAAAACTAACTAAAGGTGTTGTTTTGTCGGTTTCGTAACTTGAGTTATTTGAAACGTCCAAATATTGAGAAACTGATATAAAAGTTTTGAATCATATTTACAATGAATGGCGTAGGGTCCGGATGTCTTGACCGAATTTGGGAAAATACATTTTCTAAACAATCCTGAGAAAATCTCGATGTTAATAATAATAAGAGTATTTTTTTTCGTTCAAAAACTATTTTTGCAGGTCTAAGATTGATGTTGTAGTCAGTATAACACCTGTTTGAACAGCCTTCCAAACTGCTTTTCCAAATTTGTCAGGAGCGACTTTTAAGTTTAAAAATAATTTAATGAACTCTTGAAGGAATTTTATAGTTTCCATATATACACATATAGCCATATTAAACTTGCTCAAGGCCAAAATAGTTGATCTAGAACTAATCAACTGAAACCACCTATGTACAACATCAATAAAAACAGCTGTCGTTAGAGAAGATTTGTCTTCCATCTCCTCTTCCGCATCAAATTTTATTCCACAACTAACATTTCGATTCAAAACGTTTAGAGAATTTGACACCTTCATTTTGTTAAAATGGTTAAATTGTAAAAGATCCACATTTAATTTAGACGCAAATTGCAGCTCAAATTTGACTTCTTTTTCACAAAAATCTTGAATGTGTTTCATGTCAACCAAATCAGAAGTTAGTTTATATTTTTCAACAAAATCATGTGGTAATTGAATGATTTTGTTTTGTACCAAACATTGTTTTATATTTTTTAATAAATGTGGCCCATGTGCTAAAAAGTACATTTTTTCGCCATTAACTAGGTTGAGGACATAATTCTTTGTTTGCATTTTCTTCCAGCTTTTATTCCAAAGGTTTTCCGCATGGCTTGATTCGTCGATCGCATATCTGAGGTTACAGAATGAACCTTCAAACCAATTACACTGATTTTCTTAAAAGCTTATTTAAGAACATCAGCTAGAACTGCCCCATTCATACTGTCTCCAGTAAAATAGTATGAAATAGTTTGTTTCCAGCGAGTAGTAATACCTCCCACAAGAATTACCAACGCTTTTGTCGCTACTCCCTCATGTTTTGGTAAAGTAATTCCTCCAATATACGTCCCTCAATAATCAATTCTAGCTTTTATATCCATTTCGTCCAATTCCACCATACAATCCCTCCCAAAATCCTGATTAAGCGATTCACATTTAATTTTCAAAAACCCTATAATTTCATCCAAAACTCCAGATTTAAACTCTAAATTTTGTAAATGAAAATTCAATATTCGAATAGCTGGAAATGGTAGTTTCATTTTTCTTAATAAGTTATATCCACTGGTCCCACATCCAAATTTAAGCTTCAAAGATTTAGTAATTGTTTGCTCGGAACATTTTTTGAATTTTTTCCCTTTTAGAGCCTCAAGGCCTCAACTGGATCCTTTGTTAATATATTTGGCAAATTTTTCCTTAAATTTGCATTACACACTTTTTGCAAGTATAATTTCTGTCTTAATTTTTTGTTACTAATTTTTAACATTCTAACTTTTTTTCTTATAGCGTATCATTTTCTTTCTGTAGTGTTACATAGTCAGGTGGCTGTTTGCACTTGCGGTTTAGACGAAACAATTCAGGCCAGAGAGGTTGAGAAGAAAGAGAATTATTTGACAGGGGAGATTCAAACTGAAAAGATTCACTGGAGAGCTTACTACTTGAACTATCACTCTCCGTTGCACAGGGAAAAATTCAAGGAACAGCGTTTTTCTTTAATTTTTGGCCATATGTTTCCCATTGATCTTCACAAAAATGTTGGTCGCAAACTCGTCCATATTTAGTCGGCGCAATGTTCATGTTTTTTAACCATAGTGCACGAAAATATTGGCTTTTGTGGAATAGCTTTAAAGAACATTCCATTCTCAGATCTATTTTTACAACCTTTCACGCTGCAGCCGGTCATCATTTCTACTTGACGAATGCTATACTGATGAGACCTAGGAGGTCGAAACTGCAGTCTACAGATGTTCATTGTGTTGTCTGATCTCTATAGTGGTATTTTCACATGATAGTATCTGACATTATGTCAACGTTGTTACACAAAAAAGATAATTATGTTTTACTTTTTGTTTTAAATTGTATGAAATAGCAAAAATGGTTTTAAAATTGTATTTCTGGTTATGTTTTGATTTTTTAGCAGTGCAACTGTTAGATATATATCTTTATATTCCGCTATGTAATAATAGTAATAATTTAGTGCAGCGGAATACAACAGGTGATGGGCTTTTGAAAAAAAAAAACAACGGCTGATATGCATAAAAATTAGTAAATACTTAATACTGAAAATTTTAAGTATGTACTAGTGTTTATATGCATAAAAATTAGTTTATACTAAAAAGTATATACTACATGCTAGCTAGGTTAAAATTTTTCCAGCATTTACTAAATTTTCCAGTAAATACTCAGATCAATATGCATAATAAATAGTATCTACTTGATTTCACAAGTTAAAACTTAATTTTTTTCAAGCTGCTGTATGAGATGCTTGAAAACAATTTTGGGTGACTTTGGTGTTCTATTTTTGGAAAATTCTGACCTGACCTGTTTTTGAGTAAATTTTGGAAGCCTGTTTTTTTTTTCAAAAATTTAAAACAATCTTGAAGTTCTAGGTATTCCTGTTTAGAAAGAATTTGAAAATGCTTTGGAGCCCCTAGTGTCTTTTCTTATAATAATTTAATTAAATATCTTATCTCATTTGTGAAAAGCAGTCTTATCTTAACAGGTACTAGCCCCACCTACTCGGCCTCTCTTTTCTTAGAAGGTATCTCATTTGCCAAAGTCAATTTTATTTTAGCAAGTATTTGTACCGCCCACCCTCTCTCTCTTTTCTTAGAGGGTATCACATTTGCCAAAATCACTCTTATCTTAGCAGGTACCAGCCTCGCCATTTGCCAAAATCGATCTTATTTTAACAGTTACTGTTTTATTTGTTCTAAGAGAAATTAAATTAAATTATCATGAGTCGTGAATTGATTGACGTGAATAAAGTTCAAAATGGCTCAATTCATGCTGCCCATTCGGCGACGAAAAATTTATAAGGCTAGAAGGCAAGCTGGTGCTTCTACTTATAAAGCTATGTACCGATTTGAAGAAGACAACGTAGAGTAACCTAGCCGACGTGTTTTTGGGCGAAAACAATGAACGAAGGGGAGGTGCTTTGACACCAAAACAAAAAATACAAATATTTTTAAGGTATGTCGGTGATCCTGGTTTTCAAGTTGGTGTTGGTGAGGACAGTGGTACCCATCAAAGTTCAGTCTCCAGAACCGTAAAATTTGTTAGTGAAAACATCTACGAAAAGGTAAATCAGTGGATTCAATTTCCGGCAGAACAGGCTGAAATCGACGCAGCTAGACACCAATGGCAAGAAGCATTTAATTTTCCTTTTGTTATTGGCGCTCTAGATTGCACTCAGATTAAAATTAAAAAACCTTTTTCTACCGCCCACGTTTTTTGGTTTTCTAATAGAGCTATTAACGCACGCAAATGACGTCACTGCAGTTCGTTAATAGCGGAAAGGCGTTCTTTAATAGATCTGGTGTAATTTAGATCGGTAAGATTGGCAGCCATGACGAGAAATGTCAGGTGAATGTCAGTGGCAAATGTAAACTTAAAATTTCCCATATTTCCGGACGCGTAACTTCTTCACAAGACATTTCAACCAATTTTAAATTACAAAAACTCGGATTGATTCGAATTACAGTTGTTGTTGTGAAAATTCGAACCTCAAATATTTCGTGGTTAGTGTCAGACCAACTCATCACCAACCACGACAAAAGTCCCCAGATTAAAAAAAATGCAAATTTCAATTAAATTTTGGGAAAAAACGTGTGCGGTAGAAAAAATAGTATAAATAACTCGTTCATAAGGCCATTGAGGCACTCATCCTTTATATAACTCGCGGCTTCGCCGCTCGTTCTATAAACTTGGATTCGTGCCTCAATATTTGCCTTATGAAACTCGTTTTTTAATATACTATTAGAACATGGAGATGAATACATATTATGCAGGAAGCAGTTTGCTTCAATAAACGTACAAGCTACATGTAATAGCAGAGAATGGTTTACAAGTGTTGATGCCACGTGGCCAGGTTCTGTGCATGATAGTAGAATTTGGAGAAATTCTTCAGTATTACCCATTATTTCGGGATACCAAGGACAAGCCATCCTCTTAGGTGACTCGGGTTATGCCGTTGCTCCTTGGTTGATAACTCCCTACAGAAACCCAAGAAACCAGGTTGAAATACACTTTAATAACATGCACAAAAGAAACAGAGTGATTATCGAAAGATGTTTCGGTCAAGTGAAAAAACGATTTCCAATTTTGATGAATGATATTAGGGTTCGTTTGTCTAGAATACCAAAATTGATAGTTTCTTGTTTTGTTCTGCATAACGTTTCTAAATTTGTAAATGATGTAAACGACTTTCCTGATATTCCTCTTGAAGAAGATGATGAAATTGTAGAACACGAAAACCACAATCCAATTCAAGGAATTCAACGCAGAAATGGATTGGCTCAAATTTTGTATGCCCAAAGATAAAGAACATTTTTTTTTTACTAACATATTTATTTTAATAAAACAGAAACAACAGAAAAAACTCTTCTAACGACGTACAAAATTATTAATTTTAACTGTTCCAATAACACTAGCCTTTGCAACTCGCTAAGCGATAGAACTCTAGTTTCATCCGTTTCTGCTGCTAGTTCTGTAGATGTACACTTTCTTTTGGGTGGCAATGGCAAAGTATGGGCGGAATTCAATTCTACTGCCTCCACTTCTTGCGAAGTTCCGGCAGCTGCAGCACCTGATAACATTATTGCTATAAATTTTTGCACACATCATCGAAGTAATAACGTCATTAAAACGTTAACATACCTGGAATTCGATAAATCGTGGGATTTTTTCATTAATGCCATTTATTAATTTCAATAAGGTTTCCTCCCAGGATTTAAGCACGTTTTTTTTATTTCCGGTCCTATTCATATCTGATTTCTTCTTTAGTTCCGTCTTCATATTGTTAATTTTTTTAAATATTTTTTCGTGAGTGAGTTGTTCCCCACAATTATTTACGTAAGCATTTGAAAATTCTTTTAAAGCTTCCTTCTTTTGTACTCTTTTCGCTGGAGTTTGCGACTTACTTAATAAAATCGGCCACTTTTTAAGCAATGAAACAAATTGTTCTTGCTTATTACTCTTTTCGGCAGATTCTATAATTTCTGATTCAGATTCAGAAGAACTCATTTTAATAGAATAGGGGGATTTATGTAGGTCTCACTTACAAAATACGCACACACGGCTTTAATGTCGGGAAGATTTTGTCATCATTGAGTAACACCGCCTATTTTTTTTTTAATTCTAAGTATTTACTGGAAAATTTAAAGTATTTACTTAATAGTATAAGTATAAGTTTATGCATACGAATTTTAGTAAGAACTTCTACTTTTAGTATAGTGAACCAAGAGTTATAAGGTTATATGGCCATCATAAAATCATCCCATTGTGTCGAAGTTAAGTTGTTTACAATAGAAAAAGTTTTAGGGTCGTAAATAACGTGTCCACTGCAGCTCGACCGGCTCTTGTGGTTTCGTTCAGGGGCGGCTTTCACTAAATATGAAAATCCACCACTCCACTATTTCTTTACTACCTGTAGCCGCTGAGGGTTCGGAAATAACCACTCGCTTTGAAAGCCGGCCCTGTTAAATATCAGCAAGAAATGTTTAGAAGATGATTTATTGCCAACCGGTAAGCTTAGTGCGAACCACACAAAGGGGGTATTTATTTGCGGTCAACTACTTTTATGATGGCCATATAACCTTATAGCTCTTGGTTCACTATATTTACTATTGAGCATTTGCTTTTACTTAAAGTTTTTACTTTTCAGTAAATACTTAATTTTATGCATATCAGCCAACATACTATTGAGGACGTCATAAGTAAACACGGTTCCACGTTGTGCTACCCATTACATCGCGAAAGTATGCCTGCGAAAGACTCGTTTTCAATTTGATCACTTGACAGCTGTCAAAAGTGTCAAGTCAATCTCAATCAAAACGTCACAATTTAAGTTTGTAAACAATCAACGTGAGTTTTTTCGTAAAAAGTGTGGCAAATCTTCAAGGAAATTCACATTTGTCTTCTTTGTAGGTGAGTTGACGCGCAGCTTCACGATATTCCAATAAACTTTTCGAACGACGCTTTTCTATTCTCATACCAAGATTCTCATACATAATTCTAACCTCAAAAAACCAACACGTGAATTTTAAGGACAATGTTTAAGCACAAAACCCTACTTCTAAGTCGCCAATTACATTTAAGCAACGTTTTAAACTCTTACAAACAAGCCGTAGTAAAACATTATCTTCCAAACCACAATAGAGTAAAACTCGACATAAAAAAATCGCCACCGTCGGCACCAACCTTTGAGGTAAAATTAGGCCCTCGCCTTAATAATTTAGACATACAAATGTTGTCACCGAACATTTATAAGCAAGTTTTCTCCTCCAACTGTGATACCCAGAAGCACGACACGTTAATTGTAAATCAGTGCCGACAAGCCCTCGAAAAACACAACATGAAGAAGACTAATAATGAGCACATGCGCGATGTGGAATTTAGAATACCACCACTTGAAGGGAAGGATATTGTGGAACATTTTCAAAATATAGGCGAGGAGCAGTTGAAGCCCTATCGTGATTTAGTTGAGGTTTTGTTGACGGAGATACCGAAAGCTCCAGACAAATGGCTCATGCAGCAAGGGTGGACTCGATATGCTCCTGGAGTGGAACCAGAGCAAGTGCCATACCCACTGGAAGAAGCACTGGTTTTTGATATTGAAGTGTGTCTGGCGACGGGGAAGACGCCCACCTTGGCGACAGCTGTCAGCAGTAAGGCATGGTATGAATTTTTATTTAAAAAGCGAATTAAATTTTGACAAATCAAAGACCATAAAAAATGTCAGGAACACACTAGCATATTTTTACTTTAAATGTCTTATTCTAAAGATTATGTTGAAAAAATTTATTGTGGTTGTACTATTATAATTTCTTTTATTTAATCTTATAGGAGTATTTCATAAGAAATAGATAATTACTGTTGTATGTAGCGTCATTTTGTGGAAAAATGTAGCTCTTTCGTTTTCGTTTGTGTTTGGTCTGCCTATTTGTTGGAAGTTTGTTGGTCTTTAAAACTCCCTTACATATTAATCTAAAATTTTAGATGTAATTTATCTTTTCGTCCCTTGCAAAACATCGTTTCATCTTAATTTTTTATTTTTAAGTTACTCTCCCTCAGAAACAAGGTTTGAAATTGTTATAAAACTGTATTAACTAAGACATATTTTTTCTTCCAGAAATTCATCGCACATCCGCAAATAATTGCATAAATTTTAATTGATCAATGTAACTATTACTATTATTCTTTCATATAGTATGCCCGAAAAAATACTTGCATTCATTTCTTATGACAATTGGTACGAAAGCTCTTGTTCTAATTGCGTACTTTTTATATTTACAACCAACACATATCTCTTATCTGAAGATTTGTCTTCTCCATTTTCTGCTTCTTATCGTAGTTCTGACGTCGTTTTCCTTGTTCTGTTTGATGTATAATTTATTCATAGATGGTTAGATTTGGAAGTAAATTCTTCTACCTACCTACAATAAGTTGAGCGGATAATGTTGCGCCAGTGAATGGTATATTGATCTTCAAGAATTTCTTAATATTGATTAATTATTAGAATCTGGATATTCGAGAACCTCTTTAAACCAATAATTTAAGCGGTTTATTTTTGGAATTCCTTGATGTGCAAAATATCTTCAAAAACTGAATATGCCCTAAGAACTTCCTTCGTTCCTGAAGAAGAGTCCAACAAATGTGTTTATTTTATGATTTTATGTATTTTTTGTGTGGGCTGTTAAAGTACAAGTAAAGAATCATGCTATGTGTATGTTTCGAGTGGGTTTTTCCAAAAAATGTTGTAACAGCGTCGTCAACATTTTAGCAATGCTTGAATTTAAATAGGTGTAGTGCAATATGTACTAATAATAACAGTACATTATTTTTTAAATTTCTGGAAAATGGAGTGAACCGTTCTTGATTTGATCAATAAAATAAATTGTTCCAATAACAAAAATTAATTAATGAGCTGCATATAATAATGTATGGTGTTCGCAAAAAAAATTTGGATAAGTAGGGTAAAAAATAAAGCGGGTTCATAAACGACAAGTATAGCAGTATGTTATTTTATGGAAGTTAAATAACATTTACTATGCAAAATTCTTGTTAGTGGGGATGATCAGACAAATTTTCGACAAACGGACGGAAACGGAAGACCCACTTTTTCATACTCTAGGGATCATGATACGTCGATAAAACATGAAATTAGCGATTTACTGCATTCTATTACAATAAAAATTAATTGCTTTAAAACTTGAAAGTTTGCAAATTTCTGGATATTTGAAATATATACTTGATTTATCGTTCCTCCTCATTGTTATTGCCCAAGATTTATAGGTACTTTTGATGAAACTCTATGGTCGACTGTTGAGTTCCTCTGCTTATTTGTAACGTTGAATTGTGTCCTCAATATACCATCTAATGCCGTAACGCTAGACAGCTTTAGTTTTCTACGGGTTGTGTTTGATTCATTTTTATATATGGACAGTTTGAGCAGATTATTCATTCTTATTCTCGAAACTACCGCACCGATTGTTGTCAAATTTTGCATGAATATTAGAAATACACTGCCCCGCAAAATTTTATTTTTTTTAAGTTAATCTTGTTGTTTTTTCCACTTTGGTCTGTCTGTCTGGTGTCTGTATCCATTTTTATTAGACACGTGATCTGTGAAACTGCTGGACCGATTGTTGTCAAATTTTGTATAATACAAATATCATGTAGATGGTTACATGCTAACCAAAATTTTGCTAATCATCCCCACCAACAATTTGATGACGTCATATCAATGAACCATATTTTAAAATTGTTTGAATGTTATACAAAAATATAGTCCTATACATACCTATAGTGTACGAATCGGCTTCAGTTTTTTCCCTAAATGTTCAAATTTTCGCAAAAACGTTGTGGGTTCGATGCCGAAATTGGCCCTTTGCTTTTTTTTTCTTACATTGGTAATACCGGGTGACCATTTTAGTTCTCTGTTTTGAAAAGACAAACTCGTTCAAATTAAACTAATTTCTATATATTTAACATTATTATGTTATTACCTAGTGCTGAAAGACATTTTATCTTAGTTATGTGTTTTAAATATATTGTAGATTGTCCAAATGGTGCAGGAGTTGCGGGGGTGTTATTTATGTCCCTGGTTTTTACTTTACAGCGGTTATTACAGCCTTCGACCAATTTTTTCATTGATCAAATTAAGAAGCTCATTTTCTATAAAATTTGAGAATACCCACGTTTTTACTTCCCGAGTGTAAGCAAAGGAAGTATTGTAATCGAGTCCGTTGGCCGACTTTCTACTTTTACGTTTTCTCGACATTTCATGACCCCTAGAGGACGAAGAAATAGGTCTCCCGTTTATTAGATAGCTAATCTCCGAAAGTACTGGACCGTTTGTGAAATTTTGTAGTTAAATGTAAGTACAAAATTTCATAATTTCATATTCAGGAATATCATGTAGATGGTAAAACGCTAATTAAAATTTGTCTTATCATCCCCACCACTAATACGATGACGTCACTTCAAAATTGTACATAGTAAATGGGTTTTAAATTGTATAAAATAACATAGTCCTACACATGTAGTATATGACTCCGAATCACAGACTGCCCCTCCTCCGAATTGAGTTTTTACCCGAAACGTCCAGTTTTTTGGAAAAAAAATCAAAATTATAAAACAACATTTTGCAATTTAATTTTGAATCTGCAAAACCGAATGCTTTGAAATTTTGGAGATGTTTTAAATTTATCTCAAGCATGGTAAATTTTTGATGAAAATGTATTTGCCCATCCCCCTAAAAATTTGATGACGCCGCCGCAAAAATTTGATGAGTGAATTCTATCCAAAATATCATGAGTTTTTACTTGTCACTCCATTTTCCCGAAAATGTGAAAATACAAACGTCTTTCTTTAATAAGAATTATAATAATTTTATTCAGAACATTTTGTCGATTAGTTAATTACTAGTTTATTGTTTTGATCCTCTGTTTTGAGGAGACGAACTCATTCAAATCAAACTGATCTCTACGTGACATTCTTCCGATGTATAAACATAAACACTTTCAAGTTGTTTAAGGACGTACAGTAATGGAGTCCATTGGGCAATTTGTTACTTTCAAATTTTCTGGGTATTTCATAACCCCTAACCAAGGCCGTAGCTAAGAGGAGGCCAGGGGATGCTACCCTATATCTAGACAAGTTATAATTAACAAAATGTGAATTACAACATCCAAAAACAGAATAAAATGTAGTGTTTTATTGAATAAACGGAAGTCAGAGCAATAAAAAAGTCTGGACTGTCGGCATTGTCATCCGGTTATTCCAATTCCTAGAAAACATGTTTTAGTTTGTCTTTCACCATCACGTCTACAGGTTGTTAAGTGTTATGGCTATTTGTCTTAAATTACAAGTACTATACAGGATGTTCCTTTTATCTGTTCACGCCTAACAGTTTTTACATAGGCAACATATTATACACCCCAGAGCCGACTTCGTCCAATTTTTTTTTTTTTAATAAGCAATCATAGCAATCACAAAAAAATGACAAAGATGTCAATGCCAAATAATGACAAAATTGAAAAAATTAATACGAAAAAAACATGATAGGCATACAGTCGTCACGTTTCCGACAGCGAGGGAAGTACTGTCTAAGCTCTTTAGACCAATTTTTATTTAATTATGGTCAAATAATAGTAATAATATTCATATTCAAAACATTTTGTTCCATTGTGGTTCAATTAATAATTTTAGTCCTCATTTTGCAATATTTAAAACGATTTCTTGAAAATTTCCTTACTCTTGTAGGCTCGCCCTCAGAGCCACTAGGGAACTGTTTTGCATGCGATTACTTTCGTTACAATGTGGCCAATTATTATACTCAATGTATTATATTTGGCCTTTTTTTTAATATAATTCTCTACGAAAAAGTACCATTTTGAGCATGTTTACTTTCTTCCTGTAGAAAGAAGATTACGAATATTAAGAAAGAAAGAAACGTCAAAAAATAAGCCCCGCCCACCCACCCAACCTCAATTGTGATTATTTTTTGTATTCGTCGTGAGCCAGGGGGCGGAGCTTATGTGCAAAAGCAGTATTTTCTTATAAAATTTTACCATTTTAGACTTGTTTTCAGTTTGTTGTTACGAAAAAAAATTACGTATACTAAAAAAAGTTCAATATAAGCCCCGCCCATGCATAAAAAAAATCATCGCAGTTGAAATAGGGCGAGTAGGCGGGGCTTACATTTTGTCCTGATTTTCTTACTGTACGTAGCTTTCTTTTCACAACCAAAGACAACACAATAAAATTGGTATTTTTTAAGCAAATATGGATTTTGCAATTACGCTCCGCCCCTCGGTCTGACAAGGAATGAAAAATTAATCGGAATTGAGATGAGGGTGGGTGGGCGGGGCTTATATTTTGCCCTATTTTAATATACATTTCTCTACGAAAATATACCATTTTGAGCATGTTAATACTCATGTAAAGGGGTTAGTACTTGATAAGATAAGACTGATTTTGGCAAATGACATATCCTCTGGGAAAATAGGGGGCGGGTGGGCGGGCCTAGTATTTGTCAAGATAAAACTGATTTTGCCCATATTAATCTTGTAAATACTTGTGAAATTTAAAGATGTTAAATTGTAAATTTTCTAGTCCTCTTGTGTGAAGTATTTATTTGTTTTATTTTATTTACTGGTGTTAATATGTAACAAATACGTTAGTAAAATAAATCACTCACTGCCTTTTTCATTCTAACACGCTTTTTTTTCTTGGCCCTTTGGACCCATACAACAAATATTTAAAATTGTGTCTTCCTCAAATTTTTCAAAATGCAAAAAGTAATTGTTCCAACCACTGCATAAATCCCAAACTCGTACGTGATAACGCAATCGTCAAGAATCGATTTTCGTCGGTGTTGTGCCACGAAAAGGACATAATATTATGTGGGGATCCCGGAGCCACGTCCCTTTCCAAAACCGACGGCTCGACCTCCTCATTCGCAATAACAGTGTGCTGAATGTCATACAAATTGAACTCTCTTTTTGCAACGACCCCAACAAATTATACCTACAAATTCACCTTTACTTTAAAAAATACACCACGCATTCACCAACTTTGTAGGGCACCACGCAATTTTAATAACGGGTTTATTATGATGCAACGTCAGAATCTAAAAACAAATTATAGCATAGTTTTATTTATTTCCCTTATTCAGTAAAGAAAATACTTATTTTGTTCTATTTGAAAAAATTATCTGATATGAATCTGCTAGTGTGTTTCATCTACTCGTAGATCTTCATTTCTGAATTCGACATTTAATCTTTAGGTACGGTTGGGTTAGCCAAACCTTACTCGACGGAACAAGCAAACCAGTAACCACTCACCAATACACTACCAACCAACTAATCCCCATCGAAAGCACCCCAACAGACACCGGTTTAAAATTAACAGAACACATGAAGAAGCCCAAAGTTATCATAGGCCACAACGTCTCATACGACCGCACCAGAATCAAAGAACAGTACTGGCTTCATCGCACCGGAACTCGATTCATAGACACTATGAGTCTCCACGTTTGCGTCAGTGGCCTAACCAGCTACCAACGTGCAGTTCTCAAATCAGGAAAAAGCGAAGAAGAAGACGACGACTGGAAAAACTGCAGCTCTTTGAACAGTTTAGACGAAGTACATAAGTTGTACTGCGGAGGAGCTATTTCGAAAAAAACCAGAGACCTTTTCGTAGAGGGATCGTTAAGTGACGTCATAAATGAGTTTCAAGGAGCCATGAAGTACTGTAGTGATGACGTGATCGCTACGTACAATGTGTTGAAGGTTTTGTTTCCTATGTTCATGCAGCGTTTCCCGCATCCGGTTACGCTGGCGGGGATGTTGGAGCTGAGTACGGCTTATTTGCCTGTGAATAACAATTGGAATAGGTATATTGATAATTCGGAACAAGCTTACGAAGATTTGGATATAGAGAGGCAGGTGTTGTTGGCACGAAGGGCTGATCAAGCGTGTCAGCTGCTACATGGCGAAAAATATAAGGAAGATTTGTGGTTAGTATGAGAGATCTAAGGAAAAATATCATGTTTTTTTTTAATAATAATAATTAGTTCAACCAGATATAGTGCTCAATTACATAAATTAGATGTAGGTGCAAAGTTAAAAAAGAAAACAAAAACAATGAATTCAGCTGATTAAAAAACAAGAAAGAAAAGAAATGATAGAACTCAGCCAAGTTTTTAGACGATGAATAATATTGCTAAGTACTACTGGTAATCTAATTAATATATTAGTTCGACACGATTACAATAGAACACGACATTATTTCTAACACTTAATTTAGGCAGCATACATTAATTTCCGCACCCGTGCCCACCAATCATAAGAAGACACATTCAAACTGGTCCCAAGATCATAGATCTAGGGAAAACCATACGATTTGATTTTATTTATATTGTGTGGTCTGAGCACTTTTTTTTTATTGGAACCAATATTTTAATTTTTAGAGTTCTCCAGTTTTCGATTTTCCGATTTTTCAATTATTCCATTTTTTGCTTTTTAGTTCCTCGATTTTGGAATTTTTTGAGTTTCAACTTTTAGTTTTTTAATTTTTCAATTTGTTTTTTTTTAATATTTCAATTTGTTTTTTTTTTCAGCAAAAAAACAAATTTATCCAAACTAAAATACTGGAAGATCGGAAAATTGTAACAATGAAGAATTAAAAAAGCGAAAAACAAAAACAGAAATTAGAAAAATCCAAAAATTTTAAATTGAAAAATTAAAAAATAAAAAATCTCGAAATTGAAAGATCAAAAAATCGACAAACCAACAAGTTTTTCAATTTTGAAGTTTTCAAGTTCTTGATTTTCAATTTGCTTCTCAATTTTGTATTTTTTAATTTTCCAACAAAATGACAAATTTATTCAAACCGAAATTTTGAAAAATTGAAAAATATAAAAATCGAAAAATTGTAACATTGAAACGTCTAAAGATTATAAAATTGAAAAATAAAAAATTGAGAAATCGAAGAATTGAAAAAATAAAAAAAACTTGAAAAAACCAAAAAAATGACAACCAAAAAATGAAACTTGAAATTCGAAAAAATTAAAAAATGAAAATTCGAAAAATGAAAAAATTGAGAAATTGAACAATTGGATAATTGAAAAAACAATTGAAAAATCGAAAAATTGTAATATTGAAACCTGAAAACACCGATTAATTCAAAATTGAGATAGTGAAAAAACGAAAAACAAAAATTTCTGTAAATAATCAAAAATTCTTATTTCAAAATCCAAGAATTTTAAAATGAAAACCGGAAAACTAAAAAATTAAGAAATTGTAAAAGCGAAAAATGGAAAAATTGTAACATCGAGAAAACGAAACACTGAGAAATCGAAGAATTGAAAAAATACAAAATCTGGAAAATCGGATAATTGAAAATCCAAGAATTGTACAATTGAAAAATAAAAACCCTTATTATTTGAAAAAAAGTGAAAAATTAAAAATGAAACATTTACAAAATCGTAAATTTGAAAAAAAAATTAAAAGTGTAATAATTGAAGAAATGAAAAATTGAAAAACCAAACTGGAAATATCGAAAAATCTCGAATTTGAAAGATCAAAAAATCGAAAATTCAATCAATCAATCAATTTTACAGTTTTCAAGTTCTTAATTTTCAATTAGCTTCTCAATTTTGTATTTTTTAATTTTTCAACAAAATGACAAGTGCAATCAAAATGAAATTTTGCAAAATCGACCGAAACATTAAAAAATGCAAGAATTAAAAATCGAGAAATCGAAAAATGTACAAACAGAAACATTTCTGCAACTTTTCGATATAAAATTTTTCAAATTCTCGATTTTTGGGACCTCATTTTCTCGATTTTCCATTTCTAAATTGTTCAACAAAAGGACAAATTTATTCAAACCGAAATTTTGAAAAATTGAAAAATACAAAAATCGAAAAATTGTAACATTGAAACGTCTAAAGATTATAAAATTGAAAAATAAAAAAATCGAGAAATCGAAGAATTGAATAAATAAAAAAAACTTGAAATATCGAAAAAATTAAAAAATGAAAATTCGAAAAATGAAAAAATTGAGAAATTGAACAATTGGATAATTGAAAAAACAATTGAAAAATCCAAAAATTGTAACATTGAAACCTAAAAACCCTGATTAATAAAAATCGAGATAGTAAAGAATTGAATAAACGAAAAACAAAAGTTTCTATAAATAAATAATCAAAAATATAAAAATTCTTATTTCAAAATCCAAAAAATTTAAAATGAAAACTGTAAAATTAAAAAATTAAGAAATTGTAAAAGCGAAACATGGAAAAATTGTAAGATCGAAAAGACGAAACACTGAAAAACCGAAAAATTTAAAAACTGAGAAATCGAAGAATTGAAAAAATACAGAAACTGGAAAATCGGATAATTGAAAATCCAAGAATTGTACAATTGAAACATAAAAACCCTAATAATTATTATTTGAAAAAAGTGAAAAATTAAAAATCGGAAAATTTAAAAATGAAACATTTACAAAATTGTAAATTTGAAAAAAAAGATTGAAAGTGGCATAATTAAAGAAATGAAAAATTGAAAAACCAAACTTGAAATATCGAAAAATTGAAAAAATTGGCAAACTGAAAATTGGGAACGAAAAAAGCAATTAAAAATGGAACAACTGAAAAAAAGATAGAAACTGTAAAATGGAAAATTGAAACCTGAAAAAGTGATAAATAAAAAATCGACAAATTGTAAAATCTAAAAAACGAAAAACTGTACAATTCAAAAGACGAAAAATTGAAAAATTAAAAAGCAAACTGGAAAATCGAAAAATTAAAATATCTACAAATTAAAAAATCGAAAAATACAAAAAATTTGCTAAAAAATTCAACAATTTCGTAATGAAAATCGAAAAGTTAAAAAATCGACAAAACGAAACAATTTACAATTTTTCGATGTAAAAATTTTCAAATTCTCCATTTTTAATTCTTCATTTTCTCAATTTTTCATTTTTTAATTGTTCAACAAAAGGACAAATTTATTCAAACCGAAATATTGAAAAATCGGAAAATTGTAACATTGAAACGTCTAAAAATTATAAAATTGAGAAATCGAAGATTGAAAAAATAAAAAACTTGAAAAAACCGAAAAAATGACAGTCAAAAAATGAAACTTGAAATATCGAAAAATTTAAAAAATTAAAATTCGAAAAATGAAAAAATTGAGAAATTGAAAAATCTAAAAATAATGTTGAAACCTGAAAACCCTGACCCTGATTAATTAAAAGCGAGATAGTAAAAAATTGAAAAAAAAAAACGAAAAACAAAAATTTCTATACAATCGAAAAATCCAAAACTTTAAAATGAAAACCGGAAAACTAAAAAATTAAGGAATTGTAAAAAAGTAACATGGAAAAATTGAAAAATTGTAACATCCAAACGACGAAACACTGAAAAACCGAAAAATTTAAAAACTGAGAAATCGAAGTATTGAAAAAATATAGAAACTGGAAAATCGGTTAATTGAAAAGCCAAGAATTGTACAATTGGAAAATAAAAACCCTAATAATTATTTGAAAAAAGTGAAAAATTAAAAATCGGGAAATTTAAAAATGAAACTTAAAAATGAAACAATTATAAAATTGTATATTTGAAAAAAAATTAAAAATGGAATAATTGAAGAAATGAAAAATTAAAAACCAAAAATTGAAAAACCAAACCGGAAATACAAAAAACTGAAAAAAATTGGCATGCCGAAAATTGGATAACGAAAAAAGCAATTAAAAAATTGAGCAAGAGAGAAACTGCAAAATCGAAAATTTCTAACATTGAAACCTGAAAAGGTGGTAAATTAAAAATCGAGAAATTGAAAAATCGAAAAAACGAAAAATTGTAAAGTTCAAAAGATGAAAAATCGGAAAATACAAAAATTTTACTGAAAAATCCAATAATTTCATAATGAAAATGGAAAAACTAAAAAATCGGAAAATCTAAAAACGAAACCCGGAAAAATCGAAAAATTAGCAATTAAAAAACGACTAATTTAAAAATCTCGAATTGAGAAATCAAAAAATTGAAGAAACGAAACTATGTATTAGCAATTACATACTTGGAAGTACCTTATTTTTAATTTTTCATTTTCTCAATTTTTCGTTTTTTAATTTTTCAACAAAAGGAGAAATTTATTAAAACTGAAATTTTAAAAAGAAAAAAAATCGGAAAATTGTAACACTGAAACATCGCAAATTGTAAAACTGAAAAATCGAAAACGAAACATTGAAAAACCGAACAATTTAAACATTGAAAAATTCAAGAATTGAAAAAATAAAGAAACTCAAAATCGAATAATTAAAAGGTCAACAATTGAAAAAGGAAAAATGAAAAAAACTGAAAAATCGAACAATTGCAAAATTGAAAATCAAAAATGGAAAAAACGAGACTTGAAACAACGAGAAATTTAAAAAATTGTAAACTTAAAACTTGAGAAATTGAAAACTTCGGTAATTGAAAAAGCAAATGAAACTCTGAAAAATATAAAAAAAAGTGAAACTGTAAAATCGAATTGTAATATTGAAACCTGAAAAACTTAAAATATAAAAATCCAGAAATAAAAAATACGGAATACAAAATTTTCTAAAAATAGAAAAGTCGACAAATTGTAAAATAAAAATCGAAAACTAAAAATTTAAAAAAACGAAACGCTGAACATAAAAAAATAAAAATTGAAATACCGAAATATTGAAAAAAATAGAGGAATTAAAAAATCAACAATTGAAAAATCGAAAAAACGAGAAACTTTCAAATCTAAAAATTATAACATTGAAACCTGGAAAAACTGACGAATTAAAAATCGAGAAATTGAAAAATCGACAACAAAAAATTAAACAATGCAAGAACTCCAAAATAAAAGTAGACAAACTGAGAAACCCCAAAATCGAAAAGCCAAGAATCTTAAAAACTTCAAAAATTAGCAATAATATTCGACTTTGGGCCAGTTTGAATTTAGCGCCGATGTACTTTGTTGTGACTGGTGGACACGGCTGCGGTAATTAATGTATGCTAATTTAGGCGCCAAAAATAGATGTAGTCTGGTTACTGACTAAACCATACAAAAATTTTATGTTGGATATAGTGACGAAATTCAAAAACATGATATTTTTCTAGTCGGAAAGTAGAGTTACATTTTCCTGTCGTTGACAGGTTGTGGGACCAAGATTGGACCGTAAAGTATCTCAAACTGAAGAAAAATCCACCCAAACGAAAGAACATTGAAATAGCAGCAACCCAAGACGAGGAAAATGAAAAAACTGATCCTCCAGCTGCAAAGAAAATCAAATTGAAGAAAAAGCCAAGCAAATCGAAGAACATTGAAACGCCCTCTATCGTACATGTCGAAACTGAAGAAATACATCCCCTAGAAGAAAAATTTCGATATTTAAAGGAAACGCGAAGTCTATTATCGAGTGCGAACTCTCACCTTCCAGGTTACCCGAACTGGTACCGGAAATTATGCACAAAATCAGATTCTTCGCCTGATTGGGTTCCAGGACCTAATCTAATTAGCACGTCCAAGCAAATCACACCAAAGATTCTATCATTAACGTGGGAAGGGTATCCTTTACACTACGTGAGAAATAAAGGTTGGGGCTTCCTAATACCGTTTACCGATAATTTAGACGTTAGCACAAACTTCCCATTAAAGCAGCTCCTAGAAAAATGTCCCTTGTTGGTGATGAAATCGAAAGAGGGTCCGACAGACGATACGTTAACCAACATAAGTAATATAGTCCAGGATAGCTTGATCCGTAAAGAATATTACTCTAAACTGAAAAAGGATAAAACTGGAGGACACTACAAAGGTACAGGCATTTGGTGCAACACCGAAATCGAAGACTGTTGTTTCTTCATGAAGTTGCCTCATAAAAACGGACCGGCCTACAACGTGGGCAACCCTTTAGCAAGAGATTTCTTGAACAAGTTCTCCGAAAACGTCTTAGCGGGTGATACAGAAAGTGCTGAATTAGTGTTATCCATCGCTCGGATGTTGTCGTACTGGCGTAACAACAGAGCCCGGATTTACGACCAGATGGTAGTTTGGCTGGACGAGAATAATCTCCCCAAGAACTTACAAGGAACTGGACAATACGGCGCAATAATCCCTCAAGTCGTGGTTTGTGGCACTTTAACCAGACGAGCTGTCGAACCCACATGGATGACCGCTTCCAACGCCCAGAAAGACCGAGTCGGGTCGGAACTAAGAGCCATGGTGCAAGCTCCACCTGGGTACAATCTAGTCGGCGCAGACGTGGATTCTCAAGAACTGTGGATAGCGTCAGTGATCGGAGATGCCCACCATGCTAAAATGCACGGGGCTACACCTTTTGGGTGGATGACGCTGAGCGGCAACAAATCTGACGGTACCGACATGCATAGCATGACTGCCAAAGCCGTAGGAATCTCAAGGGACCACGCTAAAGTCATCAATTACGCCAGAATTTACGGAGCTGGACAAAACTTCGCCGAGACGCTCCTCAAGCAGTTCAACCCCTCGATGTCCGAAGCGGAAGCGAGATCCAAAGCTACGAAAATGTTCGCGTTGACGAAGGGCAAACGCATTTACTTTCTCAAACCGGAGTTCCGAGAGGACTTTCCAGACCAAGCGTACTCCAAGTGGCAGGCTTTCGAAATCGCCAAGATCTGCGGCAAACATGTCGACGACGTGTTCGTGAAACCCAATTGGGTCGGTGGTACGGAATCCGCGATGTTTAACAGATTGGAGGCGATTGCTAACAGCCCGAATCCGTCGACTCCGTTCTTGAACGGTTGCTTGAGCAGAGCTCTGGAGCCGAAATCGACCGGAGAAGATCGGTACTTGCCGACGCGAGTGAACTGGGTCGTACAGAGTGGGGCGGTAGATTTTTTGCATTTGATGTTGGTGTGTATGAGGTGGATTATGCGGGATAAAGCGAGGTTCTGTTTGAGTTTTCATGATGAGGTTAGGTATTTAGTTCCGGAGAAGTATAAATATCAAGCGGCGCTTGCGATGCACGTGACGAATCTCTTAACGAGGACTTTCTGCTCGGTTAGGTTAGGTATTAATGATTTACCGCAGTCGGTAGCGTTTTTCTCGACGGTGGAAGTAGATACAGTGTTGAGGAAGGACGCGAAGCAGGACTGTAAAACGCCGTCTAATCCACACGGGTTGGAAAAGGGGTATAATGTTGGGAATGGGGAGTCGCTTGATGTGTACGAAGCTGTTAAGAAGGCGAGGGGGAAATATAGCTCTTGGTATGAACAACTGCGATAATAAAACGAGTTCTATGAAAGATAAGTTTGTTAATAAAAGATTCCGTTAATGTTTTGTATTGATTTGTGCCTACCAGATGTCTTTCGCGTGATACTTTTATTCTTTAAAACCCTGAAACGGTAAAAAAGGAACGTATTTATATAAAAAAAATCATTCTTTTTTTTTTTAATGGTGAATTTTGGATGGACCTCTGAGATACCACGTGTTCCTTTTATTTGATACAACTCCTGGAACTTTTTTATTTTTAAAGGTAAACATATACTATACATAGTCGTTTGAAAAAATTTGTATCATTTTAAAAATTCACTTATTTGTTGCTTTTGATTTTTTTAGAAAAATCAATATTTCCATTTATGAAAAAATATACCTAGTGTTCCATAAAAACAAATAAAGTTGACGTCATTTCCGGTTCTACCGGAAGTGATAATAAAAATGTGAGGTTGCCATCACATAGATCTTTTAAAATGATACCAATTTGCCCCAAGAACTGCAGTTTATCTTTAAGAATAAATAAGTTACAGGGGTTGGATCAAATAAAAGAAACATCCTGTATACGTATACAATGTGTACTGAACATTTATTATTCTTCATTTTAAAAGGAATAACAGTTCCTGTCTTTGACCAAATATTTTGGTTTTGCACTTAATAAAGACTCCCGATAAGTTTCGCTTCGTTAAAAATGTCTTCATCTTTTTTTCGTGTTACAACTAGCGAATAATCGATTTCTTCGTCATAACTCAAGTAATTGCAGTGTCGGGTTGTGCCGCCGGGACACCGGGAAATTTCCCGGTGGACCCCAAAACAGTCTACTTTTTTTTTGTATACAATTATTTACATTTTTTATATATCCGGGATGCTACAATTTCAAACGCTATAAATATTCCTAAAAATATAATATAAAAAGCTATATATATATGTAAATATCGAGGGGTTGGTCACTAGGCCAAAATAACGTACAACCTAATTCCAATTCTGGCATTAGCAATTCCATTTTGAAAAAAATCCACCAATTCCACTGTAATGCCAATAATTCCGCCGATAATTCCATTTGAATGCCAAAAATTCCATAAATTCCACCCTAATCACAAAAAATTCCACTAATTAAAAAAAATAATGTCTTCAATTCCACTCTTTCCGTCTCATTCACTCAACCTCGTGGTGTTTTTAAAATAAGAAATTGAATTTGTATTTATAATTTTCTCAATATTTTTTTTCCGCAGAAATTGAAATATTTTAGTATAGACTATACAAACTAAATTGTAATTTATAAAATAAGTATATATTGAACAAGTACAAAAATAAATACACTTCTGTAATAAAATTAAAAAAAAAAGAAAGAAAACAAACAAAATATCTCGAAAAATATAATACCAATTATTTTTAAATCTATATACTCGGTCCGTGCTAATTCGTTTGCTTTCTTTTGTTAACAGCCAGACCAAAGAAGTCAAGCGTCGGTTTTACGACTTATTACGAAACATTTGACCACCATTTTGTAGATTACGTTTTCTAGATCTTTCATGACCCCTACAATACGAAGGAATAGGTCTCCCGTTTCCGTCTGTCTGTCTGTCTGTCCGTCCGTCCGTTCGTCTGTCTCCCGCCCCGGATTTTTATTAGACAAATATTCTGCGAAGGTACTGGGTCGCTTGTTGTCAAATTTTGTATTCATATTAGGAATATCATGTAGATAGTAAAACGCTCACCAAGATTTGTCTAATCATTCCCACCAATAATGTGATGACGTCACTTCAAAATAGTCCTATACATATAGTTTATGACTCCGTCTTGAGTGTTTACCCGAAACGTCCAGATTTTTGGAAAAAAATCAAAAATATCATTTTGCAATTTAATTTTGAATCTGCAAAACCGAATGATTTGAAATCTTGCAAATATTTTAAAGCTGTGATAAGCATAATAAATTTTTAATCTTATCCCCTCCAAAAAATTGATCCTCTCTAAAATGTCCAAAATATGATGAATCTATGCTGGTGATTTATCACTCGATTCATATTTGTTGGATTTGCTTATACAGGATGACTCAAAAAAATTAATGAATGCGTTAATTTATTTTATTGATTTAATCAGGAACAAAAACCGAATACTTTGAAATCTTGGAAATGTTTTCAAGTTATCATAAGCATGGTAAATTTTTCATCAAAATCTGTTTGCTCATCCGCCCTGAAATATTGATGACGTCACCTCAAAATATTGCAGAATAAATCTTAAATGTGCAAAATATGATGATTATATACTTGTAATTTATTTTTATTATTATTTATTAATATTTTTTAGATTTGCTTATACGGAGGGTGTCTCAAAAAAAATTAATGAATCAATCAATTTATGTTTGCATCATTGCATTCATATTTTTTAGATTTGCCCTTTATTTTCTCAGAGGATATGTCATTTGCCAAAATTAGTCTTATCTTAGCAATTACTAGCCCCGCCCACCCACCCCATATTTCCTCAGAGGATTGTCCTTTGCCAAAATCAGTCTTATCTTAGCAAATAAGAAGATAGAGGGCGGGTGAACGGGGCTAGTAGTTGCTAAGATAAGATTTATTTTGGTAAATTATATCGTCTGAGAAAATAGGGGCGGGTGGGCGGGGCTAGTACTTGCTAAGATAAAACTTATTTTGGCAAATAACATACCCTCTGAGAAAATAAGGGGCGCATGGGCGGGGCTAGTTCTTGCTAAGATAAGACTGATTTTGCCTCTAGTAATTTTCTAAAAACTTGTTAAATTTAAAAGGTGTTAAATTGCAAATTTCCATAGGAACGAGTTAGGGTCAGTTCGAGTAAATTCTAGGATAGGGAAATACATGCAAACTTTGGCCCATTTTTTAGAAAAAATTATATGCTCTGTCACAGTAAGTTTTATACTCCTGAAATCTGCTTAAAAAACCCTAGAGATCCCTGTAGTTGCATTTTTGAAATTTTGTTTTAAAACTGACTTGGTGACCTAAATTATGGCGAAAAATGACGTTATCTGCAATATGACTATCTATGCATCTATCGATCACAATTAAAAAAAAAAAGACGAGATCTATAGAACACCTTATGAGAAACCTATTGCGCTTTTTAGAATTAACATAGGTCAATAAATAAGCCAGAAAAATGAGGCCATTTTATTGAAAATCTCTTGGAAAAAAACTTTGGTTATTTATTTGGACCACTACCTGCACACTGCACTTTCGAACCTGATAATGACTTTTCTAAATTATCCTACGATTTAATAATTACATTCTGAGAATATCCACCCCTACCACAAATAATAATTCATATATTACAAGAAAATTCTAGTGATAAGAATTTTGTTGCCATTCCGCATTTGTAACAGTTTTTAGTACGATATTAGTCTACCTGTTTTACTAATAGTGTTTGTTAGCTTTAGGGCCGGTTGCATAAACGCAAATCAAATTTAATCTCTGATTAAGAACAATTGTAACTATGATAATAACAATCGTTACTATGGAGTTAATCAGAGATTAACTTTGATTTGCGTTTATGCAACCGGCCCTTATAGAATTAGACTTGAAGTGTCAGCCAGCAGTGATTCAGTTTGTTGTACATTACAGCCATTTGTAAGTTTAATTACTTAGGTTTGGAAATCCAAATTTTTATTATTTGCGTAAACTTTTATACTAAAAATTTTGACCATGATTCCAGCGGATCCATATGGAAACCGCTGATGAGATTTTTACAAAAAAGAACTCTTCAAAGTCAAAATCAGTCTGTTTACTTAAAAAAAAAAATGATAAGGCACCCTATAATAAAATAGAAAACAAAAAACGTACCATTTTACCTACTACTAATTTGCCCCTTTTTTGTCATTATATATATTTAATTTTATAGAATTTCATACTCCTACATGTGTGATTTATGAAACCGTGTAGAGTTTTCACTCTAGACATCCAGATTTAGAAAAAAAAAATCAAAATTGTATAATAACATTTTACAATTTAACTTTGAAATTTGTAAAATCGGATGTTTTGAGAACTTGGCCTCTAAAAAATGATAACGTCATTTTATAATTTTGCAGAACAAATGTTTCTTAAATTTTATAGAATTACATACTTCATGTATGTGTAATTTAGAATCCGTGCTGACTTTTTCCCCTAGACATCGAAATTTTTGAGGAAAAAAATTCAAAACTGTATTTTACAATTTAACTTTAGAATGGTTAAAGCGAATGTACTAAAGTATTCCAAACTTTTGACAATTATAGGAAAGATGATAAATCGTTATTTTTTCGACAAAAAATAATGACATCATCTTAGAATTCTACCGAACAAATGTCCTTTAAACTTTATAAAATAACATAGTCCTGGATTTGTGATTTATGAATCCGTGTTGACTTTTTACCCTTGGCATCCAGATTTTTGAAAAAAAAAAAAATCAACATTGTATAACAATATTTTACAATTTAACTTTGAAATTGCAAAAATCGAATCCTGTAAATTTATGAAGATGCTTTAAAATTGTTTTGTGTCCTTTCCTCTGCTTAAGGACACAAAATCAACCAAGTTTCATTTTCTTTTAACCGCAGATTACCGCTTATAATCTTAACGTGCTAAAAGTCAATTCGGGGAAAGTACAAACATAAACAGTCGAAGTTAAGCATATACTGAGAAATTGAGAATGTCTATATTTTTTCCCTTTCGTTATCTGCTTTAAATATATTTCATATTTAAAGAAGCAGGAGTTGCGGGGATGCTAATTACGCCATTTTATTGAGGTTAACAGTTATCACAAAACGAAAATCGCAAAATCTAATTTTATAACTTTTAAAGAAGCGGAATTTGTCGGACTATACTTCAAGGGCGAGGGAAGTTCTGTCAAAATTCCAAAAACAACATAATTTTTTCAAAACACCAATGTCGCCGGTAAAATTGAAAATAATAATAGTAATGTAGGAACAACCGTTCCCTGAAAAACACGCGATCTACCTGAACGCATTTAGAATGTACCTATGTATTTAAATCTCTGTACAAATGTAAATATAGTGAACCGAGAGGTATAAGGTTATATGGCCATCATAAAATTAGTTGACCGCAAATAAATACCCCCTTTGTGTGGTTCGCACTAAGCTTACCGGTTGGCAATAAATCATCTTCTAAACATTTCTTGCTCATATTTAATAGGGCCGGCTTTCAAAGCGAGTGGTTATTTCGGAACCCTCAGCGGCTGCAGGTAGAAAAGAAATAGTGGAGTGGTGGATTTTCATATTTAGTGAAAGCCGCCCCTGAACGAAACCGCAAGAGCCGGTCGAGCTGTAGTGGACTCGTTATTTACGACCCTAAAACCTTTTCTATTGTAAACAACTTAACTTCGACACAATGGGATGATTTTATGATGGCCATATAACCTTATAGCTCTTGGTTCACTATACGTCCTATCTTTCCTCTACCTGCCCTACGCTCCTACTTTCTCTTCCAATTTGTAAAATTTTCTAAACTCTTTCTTTACCTACTTCCACCTCTCCAAAACCGAGCCTACTTGTTGACAATTTCAAAACACTCTTCCTAACTTCTCCCTCGAGCTCTCAAACCGTAAGCATCTAATAAAAATCTGAAAACCGTAACCGTCGTAGAAGTATCTCAAAATCACCAACGATACCCACAACTGGTGACCCCGACGTGATAAAAAGAAAAGAAACGTGAGTATTAGCAGTGATCGCGACGAGTGTAGTGCGGAATTTCTTCCAATTTTCAGCCTTTTGCTGCATTATCACAGTAGATATTATATATTGTACCAAAAGTCAATTAATCTCGTTGTTCACCGAAATTTCTGGATATCTAAATGTTGCTCAACAGACTGTGATGGCATAGTTCTTTTTGTTATCAAAATTTTTAACATCCAGTTTTTTTATTATTTTATTTTTTGACCGATTTTCCAGTTTTTTGAACGGAATACAGATGGGTATTTCTCACACTTGTTGGTATTATTCTTCCGTCTGAGAATATCGTGAAGTATTAAGGGTTGCCACCTTTTTTGAACCAATAAACCGGCCTTTGTAAGATAATATTAAATAATAAAAGTCACAGTGTATTTTAGGTACAAACGTATATTTTAGATGTGTACAAATATTGCTTACTATAAAATAAAACATAAATATACTTTATAAAAATAAAGAAAAATATATAATAAAATAAAATATAGTATAAAACACAAAGTAAATAAAATTCCATCATGAAACTAACTAACATACCTTCTATAAGAAAAACTACAAAATCACATTTTATGATTTGTTTCAGTATCAGTTGTAATATAGAGTTAACAGTTATCAATGACATTACACATTATTTAGTTTTTAAAATGGTATTTTCGGTTTGATTTTGCTGCTCTTATTAACTCTGCATTATTACGAATTTTTTCTTGAAATTCGGAGCAAGTCATATTTAAATTCGATCTAACACAAATTTCCGCTTTTACCATTTCTACAGTTAATCGGTTTCTGTCATCTCTCCATGCTTGATTCATAATGCTGAAAATTCTTTCAACATAAGCATTACTGCAAGGTATGGATAAGACCGTTTTTACTACTTGCTCCAAAATTGGGCTCTTTATATTTTTAAAAAACATGCACCACTTTTCGGCAGTTGAAAGTTCTTCATTGTTAATGAATGCAGGTGCTGAAGCTTTTAATATATTCAGTTCGTCGTACAGTTTGTCACCATCGGAGTCTTTTATTTTTAGTCCTATATTTGATGCAATTTTTATAATATCATCAATATTTGGGAGATCTTTATTCAGCTGTAAAATTTTAAATGATTCAAAAATATTGTCTTCAAAATTAAACCATTTTTCTAAATATGTGATCGCACCGTTATACACATCGATTGCTTCACTTTTAAATTTATTCTTGTCGTAATCTGTTAAATTTGATAAGGCTTTGTTTACTGTAAAACCAAAAAATACATCATTTTTTCGTGACATTAACTTATCTCTTAAGTTTTTCATTATGTCAAAAATATTTGTTACAACTAAATTAGACTGCTCAAGCAATTTAATTGTGTTGTAAAATATAAACAAAATATGGTGAACGAAATATATATAACACTCAGCTAAAGAAGGTGTTTTTGAAATTTCATTTTCCTGATCTTTAATAAAATTCCAAATAGTGCGATCACAATTGTCTTTGCCCTGCTCCAAAAAATAAGTTTTTATTGCATCCCAATTCAGTAAAAGGCGATCAACGGCTTGAAATAAGCTTAGCCATCTAACTGATATATGTCTTAAAACTTGATGATAATCTCCTTGTACAAACTCAAAACATTCTTTGAGAAGCTCTACCTTTTTAGCACTACAACTAAATTCGTTAAATACTTTTAACACCAAACATTCAACATCAAAACTTAATTGCTTTAAGCAATGCTTTGCAGTATTATGTAAAATATGACAATTGCAATTTGCCTTAATTATGTTTGGTTTCACGTTTTTCAATTTTTGAAAAATGGAGCAATTCTGACCATAGTTTACAGATGCATTATCCGCTCCAAAAGCAGAAATATTTTGTGTATCAAGATTTAATTGACTTAGAGCTCTTAGGATGGAATTCGTTATAGACTCAGACTTTTCGTCCGCTTGCTCATAAAAATCTAACAAACCATCCTTTACACCAGATTCTCGGTCAAAGTAGCCTACTGCCAAAGGAAAGAATTTTCTGTTGCCTTTGTTTGACGCATCAATAGATATAGAAAAAGGTAAATTTTCTTTCTTTAATTCTTTGGTTACCATTTCAATTGCGTAAGGCGCCAAGACGTTCCTTACGATTGCTTCCATTTTTGTTCGTCCTAGATGAATTTTAGAAGCAATTGCAGAATCTGTGTAGATACGACCATCTAATTTATTACCTGAAAAGTAAACAATTTATTATTCTGACGTTTTAATATTTTCGAAAGTAATTACCGCAGTCAGATGATAGGTAACTCAATCCATGTTTAACCGTGTGAAAAGTTTTGGAAATTTCGGCTATTGTGACTTTTTCAGAGTCCTTTGAGTTATCAGTTGCAAAAAACTTTGTAATCGCTGTTGACATATTGCGCGATTTGAGGGCACTAATGTGCTTTGACCCTTTTGAGTGTTGTTTGACTGCTTTAATACCATCATATTTAACATTAAATGCGATCTTACATACGATACATTTGGCCATGTTTTTATCTGCATCATGTGAAGCTAACCAAGTAGCAAAATCTTCGTTTTTTCTCCATTCTTCCTTGAATGTGCAATTTCTTAGACGCATTTTCTTCTTTGGTATATAATGACTTGTAGAGGGGCAGACTTAAGTTTCACTATCAATATCACAATCACTCATTATGTCTATTCAAATGTGAAATTCTCAAAAAGGGTATTTATATTTGCACAAAGTAAACTTACTAGCTTACTACTTGCGAGTTAAAGTAAAAATGAGCAGACTCGCGCACTGCCGAAATGACACAGCATGCAATGCAATTGCAAAACGTGTCGCACGTGCGTCTCTTGCGGTGCAGGCCGGAAGTGATATATTACAAACGTAAAAAAATTTGTTGAAACCAATATTATTCATAATAAACCGGCCTTTTTGGTACTATTAACCGGCACCCGGTCATCGGAACGAAAACCCGGCCGAGCCGGTCAAATACCGGCCGGGTGGCAACCCTAAGTATTAGTAGGGTAGGTAACAGTCCCAATTGGACTTTTTTCACTGTTCAGTTCTGTATTCAGGGTACACATCGTTTCTCCAGTGTGTAATTGACTAATTGATCACATCGTCCATTGTAAGTCCCAATTCACAATGAACGTAATTCGTAAAATTGACGTAATACGTAATAAGTAGGTACATAAACGCAAACGACTGTCTACAATGATCGTAAAATACTTTCACTAATGCGCATGCGTCTGTCAACGTTATGTTCACAGAGTGACAAGTGACCGCAGCAACAGCAGCAGGAGGCAGAAACAAAAAGAAAATGGATACAAAGAGTGCCAGTTTGTTGCTACTGTTGTTATTACGGAGGAGGAACAGGAGGGATATACCCAACCATACATACACACGTAAAATGTACATAAAGTTGAACAACTCTCCACTTTACGTTAGATTTACAGTCATCCGTAATTTGCACGCAAACGTGAATTTTACGTCATGTATTGTAGACAGTCCCGTATAATTTCATTGGCTCAGATTTACGAATTACGTATAGTTTACGAATGTTTTACGAATTACGTTCATTGTGAATAGGCAGTTGATGAATAATACAGGATTAAGTGCTTCACCTCAATATTGTTACTATAGATATAGACGTTTTCCTAGTGTCTATGGTCTCCGTTAAAACCCTGTTTTGAAAGCTATACAAGACTCCCAACACCTGATTTAACAGTCTTTTTTTTTAATTTGGTGACATATTTCCTGTATGAACACTTACTCACTAGTTGCATTTTCTTTTGCAGAATGTCTCGCAAGACCAAGAGAAAGCACGTCTTTAAGGAGGTCCTCGAGGACGACATGTCCCTTCCCGCGGACCATCAAACCATCGTCCGAATACTTAGCACCAAAGGCAACAACTTACACGAAGTCCTAGCTCCCGACCAGTCCACTTTTCTGGTATCTATGCCGACCAAGTTCCGCAAAAACGTGTGGGTTAAGCGTGGTAACTACGTTTTGGTCGAGCCCATAGAAGAAGGGGACAAAGTGAAAGCAGAAATCGTGAGAATACTAACAAATGAACACATAAAGTACTTTAAAGAAGATAACGTGTGGCCGGCTGAATTTGATGAAAAGAAAAAGAGTTGTGATGGTGCAGATGACGATTTGTTGGTGAATACGAACAGGCTTCATTTGATTGCAAGCAGTGAGGAGTCGGGTAGTGATAGTGATGAGAGTGAGGATTATAGTGATGATGATGTAAAGAAATAACGTTGGTTAGTTTTATTTGTTTTAATAAAAAAATCTATATTGCTTCTCGCATTCCTTTTTGGATTTTTTTCTGTACGATGTTGGTGATATTTCCGTCGACGTTGGGCAGTGGCTGGTTTTTCCGTACCGCTAGCTGAAATCAGGAAGAAAATTGTATATACTAGATTAGTACATGAACTAAGTTGTTAATCTAAATGTGCATACCAACTTATCTATTTATTTCTACAAAGTATGTGTTATGTTTTAAACAAGTTATAACATTTCTTATTCAAAGAAAAAAGACTACAAAGCCACAGCTTTGTTGTCTACCATAACCAAAAATACCAATTATTTTACGTAAATGATTCATTGTGTATAAGAATATCAATATCGTTTTTCTACTATTAAAAAAATTAAATGGTTCTTCTTGTTAACTGATAGAAATGCTCCAAAGTATCAAGTTTCCACGCAGTAAAGTAGTTAAAATCCAAAAAGTGAAAGAATGTTTTTACTTCCAAAGGAATGAATAACTTTTAAGTAACATTTTTACGCACATTTCTTGTTGAAAAAATACATCGTCATATGTTCTTCAAACTCACCTCAATTTGTTGCACCAACCTAACTTCCTCAGGCCCTGAAATAAAATTCGTTGCTTTGCAATCCAACGAACTTCCCAATCTTCCAATACGCCCAATCCTATGCAAATAATCGGCTGCATACACCGGAAAATCGTAATTTAAAACGTGTCCCACTTGCGTCGTATCTAACCCTCTTGAACCCACATCAGTCGAAGACAGTATTTTAGTTTCACCCTTAATGAAGCTATTCCATTGGTCGATTCTGATCGCGTAATTCATATCGCCGTTAATATTCGAACACGGAATCCCATTTTCTCTCAAAAACATCGCCAACCAATTACAGGTTGCATTCCGACTGGTGAAAATCAACATTGGATGTTTATTGGTTTTGGCAATTTGTAACAGATTTGAGGGTTTCGTCGATCTAGTCATCCTCGAGAATTTTTGTGTAATGGTGAGAAGTGGTCTGTGGATTTTTGGAGATACTAGTTGCATTAGACTTGGTTCTATAGGTTTGAGGTACTCGGGTATCGTTTTTGGCATTGTCGCCGAAACTAGGACTATTTTAGATTGTGGTAGCCGTTTAATAACTGAAAACATTCTTTCACTAAAGCTGTCATCAACTAAAGTGTCTGCTTCATCAAGAACTGTATACAGGACTTGATTTAATTTGTAAACCCCAACTGTATTTAATTTACTTATTGCTCCAGGAGTACCTACAAGGATATCTATTTCACCAAATTCAGGATTCATCATTATTTTTTTCGTTCGCCCTCCGACTATAATTTTCACATTTAAGTCAACAGATTTAGCTAACATCTCGGCCACGTCTCCAACTTGATAGGCCAACTCTCTGTTGGGTACAAGTATCAGCGCCTTAGGTGTATTTAACTCTGTGGTTTTATTATTACTCAAATTTTGAATAATGGGTAGCAAATATGAGATTGTTTTTCCACAACCCGTTTCTGCTGCTAGCAATAAATGTGAATCTCGATTCATCAGAGGAATAGCTTTAGCTTGATAACTCGTTGCTTTCTTTATATCTCGGTTACTTAAAGCTTCTATTAATCTTGAATCAATATCTAATAAATTAAAGGGAACCATTTCTTCTTCAAGGCATTTACTTTCAATTCGATGTATTACAAAACTATCTCCTTTCGATTTTGAGTGATTCCAGCCCTTAGAAATTAAAGGAATCTCGTCTAAATTGTTATATATCATGTGTTCATGGTGGTTTAAGTGTTTTCGTTTGCAACTGATGATGCATCTTGCTTCCACCGGTTTCATTTCTGGCAATCCCGAAAAAGTACATGTTTGGTTTCTGCAGACGGTAGAAACGGTTTTACAAAGTTGTCTTGTTAAACGTAACGACATTATTTTCTTGAAATTACGAAATTAAAACATATAGGTTATGTTTGAAATAATGTTGGAATCTAAAAAAAATGCGTTTAGTAATTTTATATACTGCTTCTGTCTACGCTCAATGCAGACATGCGGGAACGTACATCAGTGTAGTATAAACTGATTTTTTCAAATTAATATTGAGTTGATTTCACAAAATTCTAACCTCAAACATTTTGAAAATTAGTCACATGTACTTGTGTCAACTGTCAAAATAACATCATCAAAGTTCGATAGTGCAGTATTGAACAACATAAATGCACCAGCGTACGAACAAATAACCATTCATTGTATCAGATCTGCTACTCACGAATCGACTACCGTAAAAGTCTAAGTTGAAAAATAACACAAAAGTTTATATCAAAACTGTAAATGCCATTATTTTTGCGTCTTATTAAGATGTTAAATTAAAAATAAAGACCTGAAAGTTTCACATAATTAATGTTCTAATTTTTAAAGTCAATAGGTTACATTTATAAAAATAAATGTAGTAGGGTGTTAGGGGGCAAAGCAAAACACGTTACGGCAACCATTTTGTGAAAATATTTTATTACAAGTAACCTAATAAATTGTGATTATTGTTCGTTCAAAGAAGGCAACTATGCAAAATAGTTACAAACTTTGAAAGCAAAACCATGTAATCACTACCTCTATATACATTTCACACTGTTCTACTTACTTCTCATATTAACATAATCTGGATAGTGATATTTACGAGTGACCTTTGACTTGAGATTAAATTTATAGGAAAATGAGAAAACCCACTTTATGTAATGATTGCAATGGATTTTTCCATCTCGAATTCATTATATAGCGCCAATAGCCTTTAAATTTGGATTCGTATGCAAAATAAATGAATAGCGAATATTTTTGGCACATATCTATCATACTGAACCCACGGATATGTGAAACAAAAAATATTCACTCAATATACATGGGACGTCGTCTTTTAATAAAACTTCAATTAGTTGTTCAACTCGATAACAACATAAAATATATAAACTATAATATTACGTTAATATTTACAACGAAAATAAACTCTGTTAAGCTCGTTTTTCGCTTGTTATTGTATTGCACCTTTTACATAAAGTTGCACGTTAAATGAGCAGAACTTACTTTAAAGTTACTATTCTACCGTGTGCTTGAAATGTCCCTGACGGTATTTAATACCAGTTCCTACCATATCACAAACCGAATTTAAAATTTAAATCGTTCCAACAATACAAAATCTAATTTTGCTATTCACTCTGCAAATAAGACTAGTATACCTGTAGTTACCCAATCCGCCAAAATTCTCACAGAAAATCAACAAACAAAAATAAACCTATCACATTCATAACTTAAAAGTTATTGGTCTTCGGGGTCACGTTTATTCACTTCTGCGTACGTGGGAAATTTGGCTGTTTCTATTTTGTCATTAACTTTAAAGCTGGGATACAGAGCGATTTGATTGGTTCTCAAGTTCCGGCCTTTGCTGAAGCCGTTCCAGTGATTCCCGGCTACTCCGATGAGATCTCCAGCGATCACGCTCATTTCGCCAGGCTTCTTGGGATCGTGGGGCAAAACGGCGATGGTGTTGTGAGCATTTTGGCCGCCGTAGTAATAGATGTCATCTAAAGACCGGAAACGAGCTGACGCGTCGGGAAAGTAGTTTTGCATTAATTCGTAGGCCACCCGACATACCTGATTAGGACAAGAAGACTCGATTTATTCACTGTTAGTACACAATACTACAAATAAAATAAATAAAAATCTTATACATAAAAATAAGGTCATCTCTCTAAATCAAATCCGGTACATTAAAGACTCTCCATCCCTTCTAAGTAATATCTTTAAATGGATACTACAACTGTTATCAACAGACGTTCTGGACTATAATATCGTAACAAATAATACAAACTTCATGCTAGTGTCACGAATCAATAGCGACTGGTAAAAATGGAATTATAATGAGCAAGTTCTTTTCATTGTGTGTCTCTAATCTTAACCAATCCCCTCCTTTGTAATGCAATTTCTTACCTGAGACGAGAAAGTGCACACTACGTAATCGCTCATGGATAACATGTGAATATCGTTGATGATGCCAAACAACGATGAATCTGAATACCTCGTCGAAATTCCCGCCGTCTTCGATATTGACGGATCGCCAATAACTTCATACTGTGGGTACTTGTTTTTAGCGTCCAAAATTACTTTCGGATCATCGGTAGCTAGGTAAATTCGTCTTTTATCGATAGTTTCTTTTAGTTCTAATTGCTTATAATAGTCTTCCACAGCAGCCATATACTCCTCGATACCGTGGTAAGCGGCCTCCGTGCCTACTTTATCAGTTCTGCGCACGTGCACTCTGCAAAAAAAAAAATAGAATTTTACTTTTTCTTTTGTTTCAATGACGTACCCAACAATAGGCCTCTTGAATCCCATTCGAGTCATCGTTTCTTGTATCGCGGCAGCAGTTTTGGGTTGTGGTCTCAGAAGATACTTCAAAATTTGTCCGACCCACCACACGATCGGATCCCCATGTAGCCTAGTTAACCGTGGGGCCAAGTCTTCGGGTATTGCTAATGGTAAAAATGGCGGACGCGGTGAAAGCGAGTCTATTATTGGAAGATTCAGGACTTGAGTATCTGCACTACCTGTAATGAACCATATTTTATGGTTAAAGCTTGAAGTTTATGTTTGGATAAAAAAATACCAGGCCAGTTACTAGTACTTTCGCCACTTGGATCTCTACAAGTGTCGCTGATTGGTTGGAAAATTTCTTCCCAGCCGGCTTTGTGGTAGCGCCATCCTCTCGATTTTAGGATTAAAGTTCGTTTTGTTCCATATGCTACCATGAAACAGTATACTGCGTGGTGCAATTGGCAACCGTATCCACAACCCTGGAAAAGAATTGGAAAATTAAATGCAATTCTACGTATGTTGACACTAATAATATTGCCTCTAACAAAACTTTTGTTACTTTGCAGCTAAAATACAGCTTTTGAAAAAAAAAAATCAATGGTAGCTTTTACTTATTTTTACAACTTGTTCAATAACTGATCATTTTTTCATTATCTACATATTGACTTGAGCTCACGAGAAACCTTGAAAAACAAATTTTCAAACACTCGGTATTTCAAAAGTGAGAAAAAAACGTCAAGTAAGATGACGTATTCAGATACCCCTTAAATGAATTCTACTGTGAGTAATAATCTTGTTATTTCACAAGATCAACAATTTACTATATTTCTTCTCCTTGTTTACAGTATTTTATCAAAGATTTAAGGTCTTGACACGTTAATCTTTGTATATACAAGCGTTTTAACTTAGTTATGAGGATACCTGATCTTGTGATGAAGTTCAACATTAAATATTTAATAAGGCATTTATTTTGAGTTGCGTTTTAAACATCCAGTATTTGTTCCTGTATTTTTTGTGCAAGCAGGCGATAATAATTTGTATTCCTGTACAAATGTATCAATTATTTATAGCTCTTATAAAAACATAAACATTTCGCGAAAAAGTAAACTGTTTTAAGAGTAATGTACATAATAAATTTCTCGGTGTTTGGGCTGACGACGAATTTCTTGAGAAAAATTAATGCTTACTTGGAACTAGTAGGGATAAAAACTTTTTAGCCGGGGTTTATCTGTTTAAAATATGTTTAAAGCAGAAAATGTCGCTTTGGTGACGGAAATTCATTCCTTATGGTCAGTACCCTTACAGTGAATTTATTTATTTTTGAAAGAGTACTAATTCAGAGCAGATTGCTAATTAAATACAATGTTTGCCTGAAGTGAAAAAGTAGGCTTAACGACAAGACATATTTCGTGTCATCGTGGAATAAAAATCACCCAGAATTTATTTACATAAAGGAAGATAAATAAATTAACGTTGTGTAAACCTTGCAGTACAATAGTTTGGGTTTAATTAACTATTCTTGCAGTGGAAATTATTTAAACTAATATCCCTATATAATCTTTTAAACCTGTATTTAATTTTGTGATTAGTGTATTTAGTATTAATGACTATAATTAATTAGTTCAATGTAGATATATTATTTGATTCATTAAAAAGAAGGTCTTTTTAAATATTGTTTTAAATACGTACTTAATTGATTTTATGATTCGTGTTTTGCACGGACGTCGCGATGGATTCCAGAAAGACCTCGATTGGGAAACATCGAGAAGGAAATAGTTAAAATAGAGCCCACCGTCGGGAGCGGAGATTATTCAGTCGAACCACGAGTCCAGCGGATGTTAAGTCAGCAAGTCGAGTGAACCACGGAGTTATTCTGTACATAATCGTTGTAATAGTTAGTCGTGTAATTCGAGCTATTAAGAAATACGTTGTTGAGTTTAACCTACGCTGAATTCACTCACCCGTACAACGTAACAATACTTTGGAAGTGTTTTTGCGAAAATTTGGGCGTTTACGGAAAATACTCAAAGCGGATTCGTACACCACAAACCACAAATATAGGCTGCATATGTTGTATAACATTTAAATCACTTTAAAATAAAATTATTTGACATGATGTCATCAAATTGTTGGTGGGGATGATTGGCCAAATTTTGGTTAGCGTTTTATGATCTACTTGCCTAATACACACACAAAATGTGACAACAATCGGTCGGGTAGTTTCGGAGAATATCTTTCTAATAAAAATTGACACAGACGACAGATAGACAGACAGAAACGGTGGACCACTTTTTCGTATACTCTAGAGATTGTGAAACGTCAAGGAAATATAAAAGTGGGAATTCGCCCATAATTATTTCGACACAACTTCCCTACTCTTGAAGCATAGTCCAACAAGTCTTGTTGCTTTGAAAAGTTATAAAACTTGATTTTTCGATTTTTTGTGGTAACCTTTCTAAAGTAAAAAAATATATATAAATGCATTGACAAATCATTACAAGAATAGATAGATACATGTTTTACACATTTTAGATGGGTTGCATCTGAGACAAATTGGTGATGGCGTCATCAATTTGGAGGAAGGGATTTGATAAAGTTTCATTACGGTTTTCCGCTTCCGAAGCTAAATTGTTAAATGTTACAGATTTTTTTTTCCAAATATATATCTAGATATTAAGAGTAAAAACTACAAAGATTCATAAATCACAAGTATTCCTGCATATTTGTAACATATTCCTATATGTTATAAATTTTAAACATCATTTATTCGGCACTATTGTTAAGATGATATCATCAATCTTGTCGGAAGGGAGAACATAAATGGAACTCAATACAAATTCGTAAAGCACCCATGCAAGAGTGTTATTTTATAAAACTTAAAGAACATTCAATTGGGCAATAAACGAATAAATTTTGATTAACGATTTACCTTGTTCATGTGTACTCTAAAACATTTACAAGATTTCAGAGCATTCGGTTTTGCGAGTTAAATTGTAAAATGTTGCTGTACAATTTTGACTTTTTTTTAATCTGGATGTTTAGAGTAAAAACTGAGTACGGATTCATAAACCACAAGTGCAGGAGTATGTTATTTCATATAATTTAAATAACATTTATCACTGTACATTTTAGAAATGACGTCATTGGTGGGAGTGATTAGACAAATTTTTGTTAGCGTTTTACCACCTACATCATATTCATAATATACATCTAAAATTTGACAACAATGCGTCCGGTAGTTTCGGAAATTATCAGACAGACAGACCGAACCGGGAAACCTATTGTTCCGTACTCTAGAGGTCACGACACGTCCAGAAAACATAAAATTAGCTTTCGTCAGACGGACCCTACTACAATACTTCCTTAGCTTACGCTCCGAGAGTAAAACATACAAATTGGTCTACAGCATCTTAATAAAATATTTGCAAAACTTCAGCCCATTGAGTTTTGCTGTTTCCAAGTTGAATTGTAAAATGTTGGTATACACTACTGATTTTTTTTTTTTCAGAAAATCTAGATATCTGTGGTAAAACATCTAAACGTCACGCTGGATTTATAAACTATGAGTTATAACAATAATATTAGTATGAAAATCTGATATTTTGTAAAACAACATTTACAAATGCAAACTTTTGAGATGACTTCAACAAATTGTTCGTTGAGATCAGACAAAGTTTGGTTAGTGTTTACCATCTACACGATGGTCCTAAAATACATAAAAAAATCACAGTCATCAGTCCAGTAGTTTCGACAATTATCTGCCTAATAAAATACCAGCTTACGCTCGAGAAGGAAAAATTATTAGTCTGATTTACATAATAATATTTTAAATGAAATTAAGGATAACGATTACATGTATTTTGTAGGAAAAGCTACTAATTTTTGTGGGCGTTACGTCGTAAATTTATTAATACAATATTTTACGCCAATTATTTAAAAACTATAAAGGAGCATATTTAAAAGTTGACAAGAGGACAATGTAAAAAATCTCCTAATACATTGCAAAATTGATTTTTGGGGATTGAAGTTGCCTTGAACCAAATTATAGATAAAATATATACGAGTATATAATTGTTATATTTAATATATTCAGTGGTTGGAAGTAACTCAATTACAAGTAATTTATTACTGTAATTCAATTCCTTTTCAAGTAATGAGTAATTGTAACGAATTACTTTTTTGAGTAATTCAGTCTCTTTTACAATTACTTTTTGCAATTACTTTTAACCCAAATACTCAAAAATATTGTTTTGTTTTTCTCTACGAATCGTTTACCTGACCTGCTGGGATTATTATACCTGTTCGTCCCCACAAAGAGCAGATTAACCCAGTAGGGTGTTAAAATATAAAACGAGATTAGCACAGAATTTGTTGCGAAACCAGGTAATAACCACACATAAGCTCTTCCAATTTTAAGGATGAGCTAAGGCATATTCCAGAATAGGGAAATAGTGAAATACATATAAACTTCTGCCCAAAATTTTTTTTAAAAGTATACGTCCGATTGTAGTAAACTTCACAAGTTGAAATGAGCGTAAAAAAACCCTACCCAGACTATTGTTCCGTATTTAAATTTTGTTGTCAACAAAAAACTACAAGGCGTTAAAATTGTGATCTGTATGAGATTATCTGGTTTTCGGTATTTATAGATCAATTTTAAATTTTCAAAAAGGTACAACGGTAGAAATTGTATTAAAAAATCCACTGCGCTTGACAGAAATAAAATATTTTAATAAATAATTGAGTAAACAAGGGCAGAATATTTAAAATTTGTGGTCAAACAAACATTAGCCATCTTTCTGGTTCACTCAAATCTATAACAGGTAATCGATAGAGCCCATCCTTTTAAACTCCTCATAATGCGCCAATAATATTTTATAAGAGTGTCCACCCTCTAAGCTTTTCTAAATTTAATCGATAAGTCACAACGCCAAATAAGAGGCAATTAAAGACCGACTTTTAAGTTTACATGATCTTGTAGCCCCCTTCTAAACATCCTTTTTATTAAAGATTAAAAGATTTGCGTCCGCAGGTAATTATCGGTGGACTAATATTTACGATACATTTACACGTAGCCTGTAAGATATTTTGAAATCTCCCACCAATGCAAATTTTTGTTTAAACGTTGTTGCAGTTGGCATCGAACTTTTATTTGTCGCTAGAGTACAATGAAATTAGGCGCATAAGAATCAGCTCTTCAATGTTTTTAAGACAAAACGTCATGCCTTAGCTGACGAAAATTTTGAATGTCAGTTATTATTGAATTTAAATTATGAACATAGTCCTCTTGCGGAAGTATTTTTTGTTTTATTTTATTTACTGATGTGAATATGTAACAAATGCGTTAGTAAAATAAATCACTCACTGCTCTTTTTCATTCTAACCCGTTTTTTCTTGACCCTTTTGACCCATACAACAAATATCTAAAATTTTATCTTCATCGAATTTTTCAAAGTGTAAAAAGTAATTGTTAAAGTAATGAATTCCTTTAAAAAAAGGTGTAATTTGTAATTTTAATGAATTACTATTGTTACTGAATAATGAGCAATTGTAATGCAGTAATTTTTAAAAGTAATAGTTCCAAACACTGAATATACTGCATTGTAAAAATTGCAAAAAATAAATCTTACTTCGCGAAAAGTGTTGGTGGTAAGATAAGTATGTAAGTCTGACCACTAAAACAATCATGAGGCACATAATTTTTCAATTAATTTTACATACATAAAATCAATATATAATATATTACTTATTAGATCTTTAAACCATAGCATACATATTTTAAGTACTGTAAACATCAATAACTCAAAAATTTTAATTTCTTGAATAACATGCATCTTCCATACATAGCAAGACGATTTCGTCTGGTTATCGCTAGGAAAGTATAAATTCATCACTTTGTACAATAACAGGACTGTATATATGTTACAGCTAATATCCGAAATCCGTTATTATGCATAATAACTAGACATTTTAGGAATTATGCGTAATAACTAAACTTATCAGTTATTATGCATAATAACCGGAAACATTAGGAATTATGCGTAATAACTGAAATTTTCAGTTATTATGCATAATAACAGAAACGTTTAGGTAATATTGATAATAACTAATAAAGGAACAGGAATTATGCATAATATTTTCCAAAAAGCTACCCACCCTGCCTCGCTTTCCCCTACATATCACATGTACAGTTGATTTAAAAAAAAAGGGACAAATTACAGTTATATAAACGTCATATTCCCATTGCTTTTCATTGATTCATGAGAACCTGAATTGCTCATCTTGTCCCGTTTTTTTGAAATCAGCTGGACATATTATAGACCAGTGCCGAAGCCTTTGAAAATGGTAATAAGTGAAAAAAAATTAGAACAGGATGATACCCATTGGAAAAGGAGGAAAATATAACAAAAATAAAGGAAAACATAATTTACGGGCGATCTGAGGTCCGAAAGGGGAAGAGGGTGAGCTTTTAAGGGTAGAAAACGGTTTATCACGATTTCCGGCAAAACTAAGTCCTGTCGCAAAAAGTTAAATGGCAAAGTTGTAGGTAATGAAAAGATTTACAACGTTTGTATTTACACTTTCCTTACATAACCTCAAAATTTATGCGAAAAATGCAAATAACCGAGTTTTTGGTTTTTATTTTTATCTCCCACAAAAAAAAAATTTTAACGAAATTTGGTGAAAACTTACCTATTTATGTCCCAAACTCACTGTAATTTTTTTTATTCAAAATATTTATTTTTTTCCCTTATTTTGATTTAATATCGAAAAACCACCCTAATTTTCAATCGAAAATTCTCACGTCAAAATATTTGCTTTTTTAAAAAATCGGTGTGCTTTTTGTTCGCTGAAATCTCTACTTTCTGAAGGTGTAAAAAATTATACATTACTATGGCAAATTTTCACAGGAAATGCAAAAAAACGAAAAAACTCGAATTCAAAAATTTGTGTTTTAATTATTATGTAAAATTTGGAGCTATTTATTAAAATGTACACGTTAATTACTCGAAAAATGTAATATTCCATGTTACATTGATAAATAAAAAAATTTCAAATCGAAATATACTAGGAGTACTATAATTAACAACCAAATAAGTTAATACACTTAATACTTTATAAGACATCTACAATATTTTATTAAAGTTGTAGGATAATTTTTAAATTATATCCATAGGTGCCTATTTAGTGCTATTTTAAGATAACTTACATACCTGAATGGCCTACGGAACATTTTAGCCCATCAGAAGAATGAACACATCGTCTATAAAAATACACGTGCAGGTTGAGTTACTTGAAGAGAATCGTGACGAATTGACTTATTTAAAAAAAACTTTTGGAATCTACAGACATAATTAAAATCTCCATAGAAACTGCCAGAGATACTAATAAAATTGCCATAGTTGTGGGTCAAGATATTTTGGTCCTTTTGAATCAATTGAATTCAAATAATTATGACATTTATTTTCTCAAACCAAGTTCTGGAAATGTAAAAGATCTATTTTTCACGTCCAATAGTTTCAAATATGAATATTTCAAAAATATCGTTGCATTTCTGTATTGTTTTTCTAGTTGCGATACAACATCTGGGTTTGCCGGAAAAGGAAAGAAAAACATCGTAAATTCATTGTCTTCTAATTTATAAAATTCTCGTGTCACAGTGTGTGTAACCAAACTCTTCCGAAACGGTTTGACTGATTTTTATGAAATTTTCTGTCTATATTCGGTAGGTCTGAGAATAGGTCGTAAACTATTTTTATAACCCTAGGTGATAAGGGTGGCCTACCCAAATTTTTTTTTGTTATTTTTCGGACAAAATTTGTTATTTTTATTTTTTTAAGATTTGGCTTCAAAAAATACATATAACCCTAAATTTTCACCCTTCTACCACCAACCCCCATTTTGTAGTAACGATATTAGTATCTTTTCTTTCATCCACAGATACGCAATAGGGTTCAAGATGGCTGTTGAATATAATCATTCTCGTACGATAAATTCTTATGTATAATTTATACTTTAATTTAATTATAATTTATTTATTTATTTTGATTTAATTTTTTATTTAACTACTAAATTATTCACTAGAAATAATTTATATGTCAAAACAACATTTGCCGGGTCTGCTAGTTAGACGATAAAATTTTGTCAAATTTGGCCAATATTTGTTATAAAAAACATGCAAACGAAGAATATATCGCAAAAAATGTATTACAATTAATCAAATATATTTATAAATGTAAAAATGACAGTATAACACTGAATCAATTAAGATTTCTAAAATCAATTGGCAAGAATTAAATCATCATTCATATTGACAAATCTCCCACCAACAGAAGGCGTTTGTTTCATGGATTTTAAATTTTTGAGTTTATCAGTGTAACATGGAATCTTACTTTTTTTGAGTAATTATAGTGTAAATTTTAATAAATAACTCAAAATTTTACATGATTAAAAAAAATTCGAATTCGACTTTTTCGTTTTTTTTGGATTTCCTGTGAAAATTTGCCATAGTAATGTATACTTTTTTTTAGACCATCAGAAAGTAGAGATTTCAACGAACAAAAAGCACGCCGATTTTTTAAAAAAGCAAACATTTTGACGTGAGAATTTTCGATTGAAAATTAGGGTGGTTTTTCGATATTAAATCAAAATAAGGGGGAAAAATAAATATTTTGAATCAAAAAAATTACAGTGAGTTTGGGACATAACTAGGTAAGTTTTCACCAAATTTCGTGAAAAAAAAAAACTTTTCTGTGAGAGATAAAAATAAAAAATCAAAAACTCGGTTATTTGCATTTTTCGCATAAATTTTGAGGTTATGTAAAAAAAGTCTAAATACAAAAGTTGTAGATCCTTTTATTACCTAGAACTTTGCTATTTAACTTTTTTCGATAGGACTTGTAGTTTTGTCGGAAATCGTGATAAACCGTTTTCTACCCTCAAAAGCTCATCCTCTTCCACTTTCCGACCGCAGATCGCCCGTAAATTATTTTTCCTTTTATTCTTGTTATATTTTCTTCCTTTTCCAATGGGTATGATCCTGTTCTAATTTTTTTTTGTTCTCAAAATATCGGCCCTGGCCTATTAGGCAATATGCTTAATGACTAGTGTTTCAGGTATTATGCATAATTCCTGTTCCTCTCTTAGTTATTATCAATATTACCTAAACGTTTTCGTTATTGTGCATAATAACTGAAAAATTCAGTTATTACGCATAATTCCTAATATTTCCAGTTATTATGCATAATAACTGACAAGTTTAGTTATTACGCATAATTCCTAAAATATCTAGTTATTATGCATAATAACGTATTTCGGATATTAGCTGTAACATATACATGAGCATTTTATTTCTTATGCGTAGTGATGAAAATTCTAATGAGTCAATGCAACCAGAATAGAAATTGCACTATTGTAGATTAACATATTTTTTATCATATATGTATGTCATGAATGTTAATGAACAAGATTATTAAATAGTTAATAGTTTCCGCTATGACTTCAGAATGCTATTAATTTTAAGTGTATAGTACAAGTTAATTCATACCAATACTAAACAAATTTCTAAAAAAAAATAATTTAAGCTGATTTGTAAATTAAAACAAAACGTCTTTTAACATACAATTTAGTTTCAGCCATCATACATTTAAAACTATGAAACTAACGCTCCTCTTACCTTATTTAAGCTACATATTAACTTTTTGGCAGTTTTACAGTCAGCTGGATTTTGTAAATACCGAAACCTCTTCTGCACCAACTCACTCAAGTCATTACTCTCTTTTTCTCTCCACGTTGCATACCCATCAACTTCAGCCAACTGATCCACGTCGTGCAATAACGACCGTTTGTGCTCTGCTCCCAAATTCAACATGTACTGAATGTGATCAGAAACATCAGGGGTTGCTTCCTGAACCCTTTTCTGAAGCTCCAATAGACCCGAATGTATAAAGTACCAAAACTCTTTGGTGTTACTGAAAATCCGCCTCCTCAAGAGTTCATACTGAGTGTTAGGTTCCTCCTTGGAACTCACATAACCGAGCTGGTTTTTGGTGTAGGTATGCTCCGCTTTAGTCAGGCGGTACTGGAAGTTTTCAATGGCTTCTTTCTGGTCGCCTTTCAAAGATCTGTAATTTCGTGGATAAAATGGGTGAAATGAGGTTTGTGTTAACTCACTCTAGATTGATGTCCCTGAATATCTCTTGTAACTCTGTGTTCTGGCGCCGCAAGGCTTCCAAATCGGCCAAAGCTCTGGTTAGTCGTTCTGAGGTTTTGGTGTCTGACGATGACATGTGGGTACCCAGCATAGGGAATGCTGTGAACACTAGTATTACCAGCCAGATGAACAGGAAAGCTCCTAGGAGTCGGTGCCATCCTACGGCGTTTATTTGTCTGAGTATAGCGCTCATTACGACTCCAGTTTGAAGTTATAGGTTATGTTTAGCCTTTGGCATATTTTGTAATCGGTACATTACACGTTGTGGTGATAGCTGTTCATTATTAGCACTATCTAAAGCAATTTGAATGACATTATCAAGGTTGCTCTAGATGTACGATAAGAAGTATTTCAGAGTGCCTACAGGAAATTTGATTGGTATTTCGTTCGAGGTTTCATTAATGCTTCCGTTTGATGTAAATCACTCACATTGTTTAAATATTACGCACAGTTTCACATCTCAACAATTACGTTTAGCACTGTGAATTTTATTACTATTTGGGTGTCATAAACTGATAAACATTAACTTTTATTGTCAGTGTGGATTGTAAGGATGGATAGGCAACACAAAATACACTTGACATTTGACATTTAGTAAACAGATCCGTAATAAAAAAATTGAAAAACTTCAAATAAAAAATGTTTAGTTAATAAATCATTAATATAACATCAATGTAATTTAGGAAATTATAAAGACAATATAATAGTTATGTAATTTTTATTATAGTGGCTTTAAAAAAAATGTTATGTTATTGAATATGGAATATGTGTAATCGTAAAGCCGGCCACACACACAGAGGGAAGACTGTGCAGTTAAAAGTGTGCACGCTTGTCGTAAGTTAAACCCGTACTCTGTAACTGCACACACAGAGAGAGACGGAAGACTGCGCAATCAAAAGTGTGCACGCTTGTCGTAAGTTATTACAGTGGCGTGCATTTGTATTATATATATATAAAAAAAGTAAAATAAATCAGGCATCATTTAAAAATACGCTGTTATACATGTGCACCCTAACAACAGACTTGACTGCACATGCCACATTCTTCCCCACACACTGGGAGTTTTAACTGTACCCCGTGGCACGTACATTCAAGGCTTGACTCTTCCCTCTCTGTGTGTGGCTGCCTTAATAACTACATTAACTGCGAAACTACCGGATTGATTGTTGTCAAATTTTATCTACAGGATGAGTATTATAATAACGGGACCTAACCAATTTTCAATGCAACATAACATACATCTATTAGTTAGTGCTAGATTCCAAAATAAACACATTCGTTTTTAGGATCAACGTAGACTAATTGTCACTAGGTGCGTTCCTTTTACCAGAAATCTCAGATATTTTTTCCTCATTTGACTCTGACAGATGTTCCATTTACGATTTGACAGCTAACTGAGGTGAGTCCGAAGTGAGATTTTTACCTCCCCCCTTACAAGCACAACCTCGCGAGATCGGAACAACTGAGGCTTTTTATTCAGTTGTGGTGGGAGGAAAAATGGACCAATCCTAAAGTTTGGCACGTTTGGCGCTCACGCGGTTGTGTCTGGTATATTTTCTTAATTAATATTTTAAATAAAGCAAAAATATCATTTGCAATTTAGATGAAACCGACCGATGGTTGGCAACTCAGTGAAACTGGCGACGTGATGGTGGAAAATACCAATAAGCACATAATTATTATTATTTATCCTCTAAAGTCGAAATTATTTTAATGTTATCTTTATGTTTAGTAACATATAACCTGTATTATTAATTTATCGAGCGACTTGGATTCACATACACAAGTTATTACGGGACGTGTGGCGGCTAGTTTAAATTATGCCAGTCAAGAAGAGCACAAAATTTTAATAAAAAACTATGTAGCGGCAGCGGCACTAAGCGCTGTAAGAGTGTGGCGGTTAAGCTATATCAATTTCATTCTAGAGCACAGCAAAAACACCCATAGAGGGCGTTGTAGGACGAGCGGCATTTGGGGCCCCTGGTCGTGGCTGTTCTATCTAATGCAAGCACTGCCGCACAGCAACTCTCTAGTACGGATGGTGCCGTACGAACAGGCCGTTACGATCGCAAACTCGCAGTTGGGTCCCGGCTATTACGAAGCCGACAGCATCACGTCATCTCGACCGTCTCTGACTTCTATACAAAGCCTGGATCCTTTGTGCAGATGGCGCGATAAATCCCACCAGCTCGACTAGGAACCGCCTCCTTCGCTTCTGCCACGTATTTCTGTGTTATTTACCTCAGTTAGATTTAAATGTTCAATTTCTATAACTCTGACATTAAACTACGCCTGAATAAGTGTTAAAGTTTCAAAAGAGCAATAAACAACATTTAATTCGCCATAGATTCTTGTGAAATTTGAAACAGCAAAGAATTCTTATATGAGATTAAGATAGGACAGCAGAAAATTTTATGATGGAAGCATCAATCAACAAAATATTTACAAACAAAAAAACTAGCAAAGATTTATAAAAACAGAAGATCTCAGGTGAGAAATAAAACTTAAGCAGATAAAAATATCACGTGATGTTATAAACTGCAGAGCATGAAAATTTACGTTCAATTTAAATTATACATCAAAGAAAATTACTGAAGTTAAAATTGTGAGATAAAGAAAAATTGCATGAGGTGAAAAATTACAAATCTAAGAAAATCACATCAGGTTAATATTTGCCACACTTTATCAACGATTCAAACAAAGAGTTACATTACGTTAAATTATGAAAAACTTTATCAATGATTCAAACAAAGAGTTTACATTATGTTAAATTATGCCACACTTTCTCAACGATTCAAGCAAAGAACTTATATGATGTGACATTATGCCATGATCCAAGTGACTGGTTACTTAAAATAATTTGTTTTGAGAGTTTATATTGTGGACTGTTTATCCCAAACAAAACACATGATAAATAAACACAAAATGCGTCCTGCGTTGCGAGGAAAATGCGTCTCAGTGATGTGATGATGATAACGATGATAATAACTGCCCAAGGGCAAAAATTAAACCCTCAGCCCCTCAGTCCACGATATTTTGAATTCTGTCGCCTTTCTACGGTTTTTTCCACAGTGGCGCAACGTTAGGTTAATTTAACTGCCGTAAATGAACTATTAGCAATCTTGTGTGAAGAATTAAGAAGTGTTATAATGCACTTAAGTATTAGCATCCGGAAACGTTATTCGTAATTTAGTAAACAAAAAAATCTCCTAGCAAGTACCTACTTTATCGGAACAATCTCTGATGGTTAGGCGTGTGTTAGAACCAGTTAACGATTAAAATCTTAACAGGAACTGTGAATTTACAAACAGTGAATCAAATTTACACGTGTTAGCGTCGGTCGAAATTCACTTATTTTCGCTCGGAAAAAACCGCAAGAATTAGCTACGCGCGTTGAGGAAACTGTGGCGTCGCCGTCGTTACGATTATTTGTCGTCAAACAAAGGCTTTCTCCCTTTTATTAACTACCAAGCCAACTAACTTAACCTAGCTAACTTACCACGTGGTTTTCACTCACACCACACAACACACAGTGAAGCCTACCTCCCTACCAAGCCGCCATCTTCTACCAAGCCGACCTCTTCTAACAACCCTCTAACTAAAATTCCAAGCAGAACTACCCACTACCCAAGAAGCGCTAACGTGCACATGGTTGCCTATGTTTAACGATTTTTTTTATTGAATTTTTTTTTCAAATTCAAATTATTCGAATGTGATTTCGCTCCACCGTTAATTTTTTCAGCGTGAAATTTTAATTCAAATTCGGTTACCACAATATGTACATTAAAAATATTAAAATCCCTGAAACAAAATTAATTTAGTGAATTTTTGTCTTACAGAGATATCTTTTTCACGCTCAGTACTTAGGCGGCATTCATGGCGTATTCTGGGAGTCAAATAATTTCTCAAAATTAATTTAAATAATAAATTAAAATGAGAATTATTTAAATCCAACTGATCCATACTAAACAAATGTTCGTAAGGTATCAGACGGTTTCAGTCTCTGACTCTCCATAGCGACTGTTAAATTAGTTAATCGTTTTTTTGCTACTGTTGGCGGTAAATAGCTATATGAATGTTCTTCATGAAAATTCATTGATGGTGCTTGTAAAGGTTCCAGGGTTATTTCATCCTCGTTTTGTTGTTAAGAAAATTAATCTTCTACTGCATTTGGGTCCATCATGTTTTATGAGGAGTCTGAAATCATGCATTGTTATTAAACCCTACTGGTTACTACGATGTTAACTGTTGAACACTGTTTAAAACTTACAGTTGGAGTATCATCAACACCTTCATTGTAAGATTGAACTGTAACTAAACTAACAGTCAGTCTATGTAATTAAACTCTCTGGGTTAAATCCTTTTACTGTGTTATTGGGATTTATCATTCTACCTCCTCTAATTATATGATGGTAAATCGTTAATCAAAATTTCCATTTATCCCTTTCCAAAAAATTCAAAATTTTGCCGAATAAATCCTATCTACAATATGCAAATATTATGACTCTATAGTGGATTCATAGTTTTTAGAGCCACTTATACACAAAAAATAATTAATCAACCCATCTATTTTATTGATCAAATCAAGAACAGCACACCGAAAATTTGAGTATACAATACTGTTATTATTAGTATTACACTGCACCTATTCAAACTGATATGCGTGCTCTTGTGATGATGTCACCACAAAATTTTGTAATGGAAAATCTCATTTGAAACATATGAATTGCATGCGTTTTTACCTATACTTTAACACTACACACATATGAATAACATACAAGGGTTATCATGAGAAAAATAAAATTCAGAGAATCAATTTTTTTTAACGATATAGAAAATCAAACACGTATGCAACAAATTTTACTAAAACAGAAGATCATTGACTTTCGTTTTTAAATCAATTCCAGTAGTAAATGAAGAACATATTTGTGTAAGTAGAGGAGGAAATTAACCAAAGTGGAGAGACATGGAGTGGTAAAAGTTGTAAAACATTTTTTTCCATTAATCAGCCTAGTTCTGTTCACCAGTGCTTCATTTTGGATTGTCACTTCCTTAAAGAAAACCCACCGTATTTAACACTGTGAATACCCATCACGTCACCTTGAACCAGTATTATTTTATTGTGTGCTGAACCTGTCACAAGAGTACGCAATAAACGTAGTAAAAATAATGTGGTTGTTCTGTGAATATAAATATACACTACTAATAATTGTAGCCCTAGCTTTCAAACAAATTTTGTGTGTTTGTGAAGAATCTCATATAGTGATTTGTGATGACATAACAGACATCAAAGATAACGAAACCGCACCATGGCTTCACGTCCAGATTGGATCTTTAGAAAAACGGGCGGAACCTCTGAAACATGTTTTAAAGACTGGTATTCTGTACACTTTGTCAAGGACACGATTTTTGACCATCATCAATCAAATAGGTCTTATCTCAAGATTGTATGAACATCGTCACTTACGATATTTGAATTTGTATGGTAATAATATTAGTGAAATTTCCGACTACATGTTTACTCGTATTTATTTATTAAAAGAAGTGTACTTGAAG